CAAGGTTGTGTTATGGTTCCTTTTATGCGCGGCTCAACCCTTTTGTAGTGCGCTGACAAATAATTCTCTGTTTATAACCCTTATTATTAAAACGTCTCTTTATATTATAATATAATCTCCTCTCGGGTCTGTCATGTGCTTCCCCACTGCCGCCCGCCCCTCGTATTGATCACAAAAAAAAACTACTAGAAGTCTACGCGCGATAATGATATCTTAAGATAAGTGCTGTCGTTGGATGATGATTGAGAAAGAATATAAAAAAAATAATAATAATAATGAACCGAAGACGGTTCTCAGGATATGCAGTAGGCACTCTCATTATATTCATACGAGCGTAAAAAAACTACCAGACGTTGTTTAATTCATTTATACATGCCCTCGTGTATGTGTGTACTGTGTAGTGTATAGTTTATACACATACATACATTTTGAAGCAAAAACATTTCATATTATATATTGTAAATTCATTACGTGTTGTATACAATTTTTTAATTGTCTCGCGTATAATTAAAACCGCAAGTAGACTTGTAATTTGATTTGTAGTGTCGTTTTGTTGCCGGACCACCGGAATCGAGATGGCTATAAATTATTTTATATTATACACTTACACACATCCATACACGCACTGTTCTCTCTAGATGGATTAAATATCATTGTGCGTTTAAGCGAATGAGGAAAGAAGGATACCTCATCGCTTGTGTGTGTTTTTTTCCTTCCTATTAATTGTACACGCTCATAAACGTGTATATTTTATTGCCACCGACGATTAGGTTTATATTATAGCGTTATATTTGTATGTACGATTTTGATCTACAGCGTAACGCGAGTAATGACGTCTATAAGACATGTATAAACAATTATATACCTACCTACCTGTTAATATGTATATAATATACTTACCGTCATCGCCGTGAACTTTGAATAAATTATGAAAAGCTGCACGGGCGACGTTGGAGGATTTTTTGAAGAATAATAATAATAGAAGTTTCGATTTCAAAGGAAAAGAGACCGTTGCCTGTCCTCGAGGTCGTTCTGGCGGTGGTTGGGATAAAAGACAATAGGAAAAACTCGTTGTAATTTAAGACGCAACATTATTGTTCAAACAGAACCGAGTCATCAATCAGTAATTATAGTTGTTGGTGTTGTTTTTGTTATTATTTTACCCCGATATAGATGTGGAAAATGATATGCGCGTTTATTTGTGTGCATTAAACAATAGACGGAACCGGGCAAAACATAGATGGGTTCCACATAGGCAGCGGCCGCCATCGTCAGGGGTCAGGTGTGAAAAAAAAACTCATACTAATTATAACACCCCCACCATACACTCCTATACACTCGATTGGAAGCAGCTCCGGTAGTTCCTATCTTTTTTATTATTATGATAATGGAAAATCAGTTCCGAGTATTAATATTATCATAACATATAGACGATACCGTAAATATACCTGCGACAGTTGCTCCGTTGTCACTATAGTCTCTATACAAGCATCGAACGTTGTTGCGTGTGGTCTAATCCCTGAGGAAATAAAGGACACTCGGCGGACGATAGGAGAGATGTGTAACGTGCATTTTGGAAAATTTCCTAGGAAACCAAAAATTAGAGAAGAAAAGAAGGCGCAAAAAAAAATGTGTCCCGTGTGCAATATTTATGATCGAAACGCGCATACGCGTTAGGTCACAATGGACGCCCCGTCGTGAAGGTGCTGGCCCCCCTTACAATTTAACACCGGGTAGGTTTATACTGTCTCTTTATTTTTTTTTCTGCTGTCGATTCGTTCGGCACCTTAAAGTCCTCTCCGTGTATTATAGATTTTCAATAGGGATTTTATTAAGTAGCCATCTTTTGTGTACTGCGTTATAATGCTCTTCGACTCCGCCGCCGCATCCTCGGAGTCGCTGGTCATCGACGACGACGCTTCCGTCCGGCAGATGTATTATTATTATTATTATCATTGCATATATACATTGTCCAGCTGCTCTGGTTTGGGCACACAAATATTTTGGTCGTTATTAAATTATCGTTAAAATAATACATATTTTCTTTGTCAACCGGCGCCTCTATCTTGAAACAATAGACGCTGCAACGGGGTCAATACACTTGTGTTTCCGAAAAATATACAACAATCTTCGATCTAAAACACTCTATTGTGTATATACTTATATATATATATATATCATTCGTGTCCCTATGTGCAATATGTACAACCTCCGCGATTGATATGCGGTTCAGGGGATGACAATAGGACCGTTTGGTCTTGAATAAATAATCGTTTTAGATGGACCACGGCGATAGGCGACGGTTAGGAGGTGGCCTCGCTTTCTTACGACTGTCGGTACAATATTGACAATATATATATATATATATATATATATATATTATGTGGATTACGCGCGTTATGACCTTAACGATGCTGGTACTGTAGGCTTTTGCAAACAAACAGGAAATACAATTAATTATGAACATACATTTACATTTTTTCACTTCGAACTGAGCCCTCGCTTGTGAATGTGATGACGTTATATTGTGTATAATATTACTTTGATATAAAGAAGGAAATGCATATTATATGGAACGTACGCCATAATATTATCTATATGGAGTGGAATATCGCGACACACCACAGAGTGGGTCGCACGTTACGGCATGGCATTTACGGGCCCGACATAATATAATAATCGTATATACTTGTGTATTGTAATATTATATATGTTGGTTTCGTTATTATTTCTTCAAATCCATAAGTCATAAACCCGTTTGGTCGTTTTTTTTGTCCAATAACTCATTAAAAATTAAGAGGCCTTGAAAATGCCACCCAATTTATGAAAGAGCGCAGAAGTAGAGGAAGAGTATAGAAAAAATAAAAACATTTTTTTATTATACTCATCTTTTTACTGACTATACACACACACACAGGTATAGGTATTTTTTTTTATAGCATTCCTGACCATTGTGTGTATGTGTGTGTGTATGTGTGTACCGTAACATATGTAAATCGTTAAAACACTCGTCTTGGAATAGTTTGTATAAGCAGCGACCGTATAGGCAGCTCGGATATATTTAAGTATATATATTCAGGCGCTCCGGAGTCGTTAAAAAAAATACACGGCCGTTATACGTGTCGCTAATCGTTTATTACCGATGAAGTACGAGCCCACGTCGACTTAGGCGCCTAGGGGAGAAGTAAATATTAAATATGATATTCACTTCCATACTTCCACTTGTATCTCTCGCTCTTACTCCCTCTCGTGTGCACTGATATTATATATATATATTAGCCGTCGTCCGATACTTATTGGCCAAACGTTAAACGTAGGCGGTTTTTATTATTTAAATCGTTTATTTGGAGTGGTCTACACTCCCATTCTTGTAATGTATTATTTCCAACCGCCGAAATATTACACATAAAGATGTATTAGTCCAAAATAAACCGACCGGCGTCCACCGCTGTCACTTCATACACGTTTAACGACTCGTCAACGGCCCAAAGACAAGCTTAACGTAACCATCAAAACCAAAAAATAATTTAAACAGACTAGTCTATGTAATTTTGTCGTCTGTCAATAAATTTAATCGAGTAGAATTAACTTTTCAACCGGCTAGATTTTTGTAACTCGGAGACACGTCTGACGCTAAAACGTCGGTCAAGTTTTGTACGGTTAAAATTACTTAAACTCAAACTAGTTTAACGCGTTAACGTCGTCTAAAATTAATAATGTATAATATTATTATGTTACATACATCCGAGTTCCCACGTGGACAATAAATAAGGTCAGGCTAAGTTAAGCGTCAATTAGAGGTTCGATCGCTTAACATAATGTTATTATAATATTATATTCTCGCTTGTCAATCGACGACTGGCCGATAAGAGAGCTTTCGATTATCGTATCGGCTTGTCCGATCTCGATGCTGGTCCATTGCCAGTATTTGATATTGTAACCGTTGAGGTAATTAATTATGGGTATTATACTTACGGTTGTGTGCTGTTGATGCAGTCGCAGAATATTGTGGGTAGGTTACCTACCACGTGCTACCAAGTTTTTGAATAAAACCTCGACAATAAAAACAAACCGGATAATTACATGGAAAACGGTCATGTGCGGATGCAAATGACGTTTTAAAGATAACCCCCTGCTGAGGTCTTGCCCGAGATGTGTGTGTATAAACGGTTATTAAATAATATAGCTGCTGACCAATGACGATATACACGACGAGGACTCAAATAAAATATAAGAAGAAGAAAAAAGTTCTTTATACGCCCATTGCAACTGACCATGCGGGGCAACAGCAATGTGGTAAACATAAGTTAGAGAAAAAAATATATAATCGCGACCAAGGACGATATGTGTGCAGTAATAATTGTCAATCTTGTACCGTTTGAATGATAGCACCTATTGTACATTCATAATGCTCGTATAGCGTAGTCAAGATACAAAACACATAACACAACGAAGGAAAACACAAAAATCTTGCCTTTTTTTCTTCCTTTGGTTGCGTATTCGTATATTCTATAAAGACCTCGGTCGTTCTTCAGGCATTCCCACACCACTTATGGTCGCGATTTATGGGCCGTCCGAGTAACACAAGTGAATCTTAAACTCCCGAAGTAACCGTGTCGTTCTCTGACCATCAAAAAAAAAAAAAGGTCTCGACCTAAAATCTCCAAGGATTCTACATGACCTTTTTTTTTCTCTTTAGTGTATTATCTTCAAAATATAAGGTATATTGAGTAATTTAGTGGGTCCGATTAGGTTCCGAAAAATTCCACCATCGACGATACAAAATCAATAAAATACTTGTCCGGATTTCAGTTGTGAATTACTCCAAAAGGCATTGTGAATTTTGTGTATACAATGCAACCAACCCGCCGGGATCGCGTTCACGTGTTATTTATTCATGTTCTTCTTTATAATTTTTTTTTTTGTGACTTTAGGATCACTGTGTATGTCACGTGTTCGATGCACTGTAATAACATTGTTGTGTTTTTTTTTGTTTACAGGCGAGAAACCGTTTAAATGTGAATACGAAGGATGCGACCGAAGGTTCGCCAACAGCTCGGACAGAAAAAAGCACTCGCACGTACACACTTCGGACAAACCTTACAACTGTAGGATATCTGGTTGTGATAAGTCGTACACTCACCCCAGTTCGCTTAGGAAGCACATGAAGGTGATTATTGCATTATTGAAATATCTAAACTGAGCTTTGCTTGACCACCTTTGGCGTTATGAAACTTAACTTCACTAAGTTTACTCAACTGGAAATTATCTTGACAGGTGCACGGTAACGGAAAGCTGGACAGCGACGGCAACTACGATTCTGAAGATTCCAACTGTTCGTCCGGCGGATCCATCAGGGTGACCGACAGTTGCACGACCACCACACCCAGCATAGTGTCCCCCGGCGACCACCACGGAGGCTCTCAGACACCGTCCATCCTACATACGACGGCCACTTCGGCTCTGCCGTTGCCCACTCCACCGGCAGCATCAGATTGGTAAGTTTACATCGAGTACCGTACAAAGACATAACCGGCCAGATACACAATTGTCGGTTATTATTATTTTGAAGTACCTTTATTAATTGCCCTACACAACAAAATCTTACTAAGACTCTTCATTTTCTTTGCCACAAGACACCACCCGGTAAATTTCGGGCAATAAGTTTTCTTAACAACATCACCTTTAACGTTATCGATGCACCGAGAAATAAGAGTCTTAAGATTCAATTTTGCTACAACTAATGTTTTACTGTACATTAGTATCCTAAAAGTTCTCCTACCGTCGTACACTTTATATTTTACCGGTGTACTTTTTCCTTTTGGCGGCGCCCTTACACCAAATCCAGTATAGGTTTGAAATTGCAATGTTGTTTTCAACATATTCAATCTGTTTTCAGGTATATGAACACAGGTTCGTCGTCCATGCAACCTTCGCCGGTCGACCACGGGCACCATCATTATCTGGACCTCAACCACCACCATCCACATCATCATCATCCCCATCACGCGCCACTGATGACTCACCATCACGGCACTGCGGCTTATTGAAACAAATCCCCCACTTCATACACTAACAACAACAATAACAATGGTGGCCTAATGACATCCGCTCAATGGAGATAGCACAACGCTAACCAGCCAGGCCACGTCGGTTGCGCTCGCCATCATCTCGACCAGACACTTAGCGAGTCTTGATGATTTTTTCACAAGATGGCTTACTTGCTATTGAACTGACTGACGAGCAACATGCGAACGATTCTGCTTATTATGCGTCGATATGTTATCAAATGGTTATTTATACATATATATATATATTTATACCCTATGCGAGTAATAACTGATTGTCTACACCAATTGTGGGACTTTTCATTTTTATTGTCGGCCGTCTTACGATTTTTGTGTGGATTGTACGTGGACGCATTACCGTTGTGAAGTGGGGGTGACCTGTGATTTTAATTTTAGTTTTTAGTGTGATATAACTGACGGGTTTTTCATTTGGTCGACAAATTTATGTTACGGTGAATTTGCAGTGTTTTCGGATTGACTAGCTGCAAACCATTATATTTTAGTCCTTAAACATATGACAACGTTGCTGATATCGAAATGTCTTTTTTTATAAGTATAAAAATATATTATATACATTTTAATCTGTATCTATATCTGTCAATATCTATATCCATGTGCCTTTTAAAATTGACTGTCTTTTTATTTGTGACGTAATGTTTTTTCATTTCTGATATTTTTAAATATACCTATTACCTATGTCTTAAAACAAAAAATATTATTAATGTAAGTATAATACAATTATCTTCTGTTACTTACAGGTTAGGTTAAATTTGTACAATCTTTTTATCTATAATATTATATTCAGCAATGAATTATACTCGAGATGAGTAAACGGGTCAAAATACTTACAGACTAATTATATGTAGAAATTTAATTTTATATGTGTTACGAATGCCTATGTTGTACAAAGATATTTAAAAATATAAATATATATGTGCATATTATATATATTATATATAATATATACAAATTATAAGTGATATAAAAAAGTAATCATATCAACATATTGTATTTTATTTATTACAAAAAAGTCCTCATACAACCTCCCATCTAATCCTTTATTTTTTCACATAATGACTATTTTCAAACTAAACAAAAGATATCTTTATAGTATATGCACGGTTTTAAATTATTTTTCACTACAAACTATCAACATATAGTAGTAAATTTTGAAAGAATCATTAATATATTATTTTTTATTACTAAAATAAAAAAATTATGAGTGAAAATATAATAATAAATAACTTCAGAAACTTGTTCTGAATACAGCAGAAAGTTGGTTAATTAAACCAATATTATGACTGTTTTTAAAAATTCATTAATTTTAAGATAATAATTAAGTAGATTTACAACTCGTGAAAATATCATAGAACAGTGTTCTTCTTAACTAGAGTATCGATTTACAAAACTATAAAAACTTGATATACAAAATCCAAGGTCATGTCCAATCCAATGAGAGACGTCTACATAAAACTAATCGTACATATTATATCAGTTTTAGTAGTTGCCACTAAACAATTTAAAACTTTCCACAGTATTCTTAAGAAACAATTAACAACTTTATATTAAGAGTATAAGAGTTTTCCATGTGGATAATAGATGTACTATAATATTATGAATACTGAAATTATTTTTTCCATTCAAATTTGATTGCTCGTAACGATTTTTTTTTAAATTTAGAACTCATTATTTATACGCCATATACACACAACCGATTGGAAGAACCATTTATTTCGACGGCAGCTAGTATAAGGTAAATAGAAGTAACGAATATGGAGATACCTAAGGTCGTACCACATTACCACCTGCGTGATGTACACTCGATCGTTAAACAGGGTCTTTATGATTGGGTTCCATCATAAACATGGCGTTTATATGGGACACCCCTAACACATTATCATAATATTCTCATTGCTTAAATTGGACACGGGTAGAAATGATACACAGTAGGAATCGGATAATTCATCTTCTTATATTATAATATTTGTAACGTATCATTATTAACATTAAGCTTTTAATAAAATTATTTTTTTATGTTCTCGATGTCTGAATAACCTATTCAACTTCCCGTAAGAAATCCCGTCGTCGTTTTTACTAATAGGTATGTTTCCCACCGGACACCTCCTAAATCCTAATCAATGTATAGTTATTTATAAATAAATAATATATTATATTAATTATATGATACATAACAATCATGTATATTTTTATAAACCAGTGTTAAATCAAACCAATTAAAAAAAAAAATCTTTTTAATATGGCCTACTGGATTGCAGGTGGTAGGCGTGTATATTATAATTTATGTTACCAAAAGTAACCTAACCTGTATATTCGGTATAGTCAAAATTCTGACTTCATAAATCAAGAACTATTGACATGCATTTTACAATTTATAAAACAATTATTAAACATGTTTGACAACATTATGAAAATATTTAATTTTTCCTATTTTGGGGTAGGGTTATTAATTCATTTTGACTGCTATAAGCCGTATACAAACGTCAAACTCGGAAAATAATTATCTAAAAATGTATTTCAAGATTAATGGATAAGCAAAATTATTCTAAATATTAATGAATTTATTTTTATTAAAATACAACTTATTCAAACTTAAATTTATACATATCTACTAAAATATTTCAAATTTAATAATAATGATATTTTAAGAAAAAACACAAATACTTATTTAGTTTGATTGTGAAATTTTTTTCCTAATAGTGATAGTAAAAGTCGTTCAAATTTGTTATAATATTTTAAATAATAACCACAATGGGAAAATTAAATCAATTCATGCTAGGATTTTGAATCAAATGTTACATCGCCTCTTTAATTGTCTATCCAAAGGAGTTCAGTTGGTTTTTTGCTGAAAACTTTATATTTATTTGTCCAATAATAAAAATGTATTAATTAATATAAAAGGGTATGATATTTAGCATTTTGATGATTAGACGATGATTAGATCTATTACCCAAAACTCTGTGAAAACGATTTATTACCTTACCATACGTATCACAGGCGAGTCATATAAAGGAATGATCAAAATCATTAGCTTTATAGTATTATTATAATATCATGACAATATACCTACTGTTTTATTTTAGTTTTACATTAAACATGTAATCATATATTAATATTGTGTTTTACTTATATTCTATTTAAGTATTTAACATAATTTATTCAAATAAATAGATACTTGTTACTTTTCAACTGTTGTCATTATAAAGTTGTACAGTGAACTGCAATATATTATACGTTTACATTTATATATTGGCACTTATCAAGACGTTTTTATTATTCATACTATTATTTGTGTGACTAATGCTAGTTTCGGCAACACGTTGAAAAGGCCAAGCAATAATAGGTAATATTTATCACTTATCGTTTAGATTCAGAGATGTGATGACCAGATGCCTATACACCAATTACATACATTACCACAAATATTGACAATGGTTGGTGTGATTTGTGGTCTGTAAAACGAGTGAAAATTTAAATGATTATACTTGAATACACATTATTGATGGCGTATTCCTATGTGTATTGTACTAATATCTGGTATAAGATAAGATTGACGAATTGACCAGTGGCATTTGTAGTAATAGCATTCAAAATATTTTGAAACTGACGGTTATATTGATGTTATTTTTGGTTGACAATCAGTTTTAGTTAGTCCTTAAAATTGTTTTTTTTTTATGTAAAACAAATAACGACATTTATAAAAATTTGTCGGATAGACAAAGCAAAAGTCTTAATCTTTTTATTTTTGTCAATATAGTGTTTATAATATTATGATTAATGTGTTCAGTGATGTGTACAGATTGCTAACTTATTTTTACACAAAAACGGCATGTGTTGATATAAGTATGAAATAAATGTTTAAAGTAAAATTATTCGTTGATTAAATAAATTTGTTTTTTTAATGACGAATTGGCAAATTTACTTAAATAAGTAAATTTGTAATGATTACAAAAATATAAAATACAAATTTACACTGAAGTGTTCAATGTAAGATAGGTACTTGAAAAAAATTGTATGATAATTTCAATTTTTTTTTCCTAATGAAAATCGGTGCGTTGGTTTTTTGTTCTAACGGCGCACGAAAAGAGCGTTTACGGAGTTTTGAGTAGGCAATTAAAAAAAATTTTAATTTTTTTTTTTAAAATTAAGGAAATATTAATATATAATATAAGGCGTTATGATAACATACGAAACCGACTAAGTCGAAACGGAGCTTAAGTAATAAAAGTTGCATATACATATACTTATAAACTACATACCAAATAGACTACATAATGTATGTAGTCTATTACGTGAATGATTTTCACGTGGTATTTCAACCCGTGAGAGTTTCAACACATTTGTATGTAGTCTAGTTGGTCACCAAATATTGTTTAAAAATGATGAATAAAAATGGTTGTAACATTATAGGTATAATTTTTACTTAAATGTACTTTATTTATTATTCAAAAAGAAAAACAATAATATTAACTTTTATGTAAGTACTTAAACAGATGATTTCTTATACTTAAATGAGGTTAATGGTACAGTCGAGAAAAACACACTAACTATCATAGAAATGTACAATGAAATAATTTACCCATTTTTATTACTACAATAATAATATAATTAAGTTATAATAAATAAAGAATAGCCTTTTTTTCCTACTGATAGGAACATTTTGTAACATGTTTACGTGTTTTTCCATTGTTTTCATTGCCTGCTTCATTTATAATTGTAATCATATTAATTAAGTAGTACTGCATTATGATGCTTTTTATGCAATTTTATCTGAAACAAAATACAAATTACTTAATAAAAGTTTTTAATTTTTATGACCTTTATAAGGCTTTTAGCTATAATATAAAAAAAATATTTGTTTTATCGATATATAAGGTACTAGTAGGTGTTCCTACTAGTCTGCTACTGTTTGGTAAATACAAAATATTCTATTGTTAAACTTAACAAATATATAACTTAAAAAATATAACTGTTTCAAAAATTTGATTTTATAAAAAAAAAGGTTTCATTTAGTTCTACATAGTAGTTTAATATTATAGTTATGGATGTTCTAGTTAGTAGAACAAAAAATGATTACTTAATTTATTGAATATATATAATTATCCATGATATAAATGTCTTTAAATAAATTATACATTTATTTCCAACAACAAAAACTCTAAAGGTAAACCTCATGATGTTTGCGCCTGTAAATTTTTAGATAGGCAACTAAAATAGCATTAAGGAGTAAACCAAATAGTATATACAAAAAACTAATACCACAGACCATTTTTCGTAAAGTCTGAGCGATACCGACAACATTAGTACGCGGTAACCGTTTTTTTAAAATTAATTTAGAAAAACGTTTACGAAAATTATTTCATATAAATATATTAATATTATGTACACTGGAAACTGTTAAGAGTTTGGTTTCGTTACTAATTTCTTTCTAATTGATATAATAATATTTCACACTTACAGAATCTTTCAACTCTGAGATATGTAATGATTTATTTGAATGCTTATGTTAATACGCATTTGTTAAACGTTCACCGAGTTCTCGCAATCATAAACGAGAATGGGAATATATGTTTTGAAAAAAGTCGTTGCTATGTTACATACCAATTCGTCAAACCTATTATAATGACTTGAGGTTTTATCGACCAGTATACCACAAATGTGGTAATTACTTATTTTTCGGAAATATATATTTTAGATATTATTTATATAGCTTCATTGCAACTATTGCAATATATTCAGAGTTCAATGCTCGATTGCACAAATATTTATTATAATATAACACAGTTATAATGCTTTATGGTTTAATGAAATTTAAAAACATTTCCGCAATAATTTTTTAAAAATGCACTTATTACATGTGCGCACTATTCCAAATATTCATTTTTTAACAAAAATGGGTAGTTTCAACTATTTTATTGTTTCTAAATCTAATATCTAACATTTATTGTAAAGATACATCTTCAAGAACTATACTTGTTTATTTGTATTAATTTCGAAGTAAATAATAATGTTCTAACTTGTATTGTTAATTAACAAAAAGTATAATTAAATTCTCAATGTTGGAAAATGGTCGAAATAGCCCAGCCTAGAGCCACGACAACAGCAGCGGTTATTATGAATTTACAGCAAGAAGGTTGTAAACATTTCTTGTTCGTCAACACCAACGACGACTTTGGTCTCATTGTAAAACTGTTGGCTTCAATTTTGTCACTAAAAATATAACGTATCAAACAGTGTTAACATATTTTCCAATAGTTATAGAAAAACAAAGTGTTATACCCAGTACCGGATTTCCGTTAAGGCTAGATAAGCTTTAAGCCTAAAGGAACCATAATAAGTATGGACAAATAAAACTATTTACTCATGATTAACAAATACTAATTAGTAACATTATTACACCTAAACAATATTGATAAAACTAAAATTGGAATCCAATAGTTCTGGAGATAGAACCTTTTGGCACAAAAACTAAAAATCAAATATTAGATTGAACCTTCTTGCAAAAAAATAAAAATATTATACCACAAAAAACTTTTTCTATAGTAATAATACCAACCCAACATACAAAATAATGTATATTGACCCTATTCACCATAACACCACCTCATTGGTTTATTTTTTAATACACATAGAACTTTTTATTTTTAATAAAATAGTTTTTGACTTAGATAGAACCTTTTTGTTCTAATAGTAAATACATTATATAAAGTTCTATCTAAGGTTTTGTAGTGTTTTATCTAATGTTATTTTGAAGTTATATAGAAATGCGGTAAAATGCATAGCCTAAAAGACGAAAAAAGTGAATTTTACAAAAGAACTCACATAGAACCTTTTGGATCTAAGCCCGCACATTATTATTTTTTATACGTTTCTTTAAATACCATTTTTTTAAGTGTTTTTCTGAATAATTTGATTAACATTTTATTTGAAATTCGCAATTTATTTCAAAAATAAAACTAATGTGATCTATTTTTGCCTATCATAGGGTGTTTTATTTTCAATAGCCTAGGGGCGCCAATTAGGTAAATCCGGCTCTGCGTTTACACTATAATTAATCGTGCTTACCCCGTCGAATACTGTGAGTTAACACTAGGCGTGTGCACTAACCAAGTGGAATCTGAAATCGATATTGCCGACAAGTCCACTTGTTCGTCTTCTGAACCTACATTCAAAACCACCAAGTAAGTTTCGCTTCCGGGTCGAGTTCTAAAATTAAGAAAAACAGTAAACGTCTAAGAATACGGCTGCGAAAACAATTAATAGTTCATATAAATACAACAAATGGCTATGTTTCAATATAATGGTAAACGTAAACGGTCTCCATTTGACTTATGGTTAAACTATTGGTAACTTATACCAACATTGTACTTTCACCATTACCTGGTGAAAGCGAATACCCATCGAGACAATATGTGATCTTCGAACGATCCCCTTTGTACGGTCCGCGTTTTTCTCAACTGAATCAGCCGCTTGTATACTGAGTAGTGACTTCGGCTTTGTTTTTTTTGCGCTTCCAAGTTAACCGACCAATAGTTTGGGTTTAACGGCAACCACGTGGTGAGGTTCGATGAAAATCCACTGTTTGCACTGGCGTTCCACTGGTAAGGACTGCGGCAGGGATCCCGGCTCAGCGACCTGTAGCCTGCCTGGCCGACGTTAAGTCCGCTGGGATCTACCGTTTGATCCCAACGTATGTTATTGTCCTCCATGCCTATCTCTTCGCCCATATACGTGAACGCGGCTCCGGGCAACAACAGGTTGACCATGTTCATGCCGTCCACCATCTCTCTGCCAAAACGCGTGGCCACTCGAGGTTGGTCGTGGTTTCCTATCTAGAATAGCAAATAAGAAACAAATAACTTATATAACTTAACTATTTGTTTGTTTTTTTTTATAAGGAACACTATACCTGCTAATACTTTTAAGGCGATATGTAGTTTAATCAGTTACTAATATAATTTAATTACTGATTAAATGTATTGGTAGAAATAGTGTTCCTTATACTGATGAGCCTTCTTACTAGTCAGCCTAACATTATTAATTCATTCTATAGAAGTCAGTAAGTTAATATCAAAACGTAAAATTTATTGAAATCTCAAGTCAATAATTTAACAGCGTTACAAAACATCACGAATAAAAACTAAAACGAACCGAACTACGTAGGTATTAAAGAGGTCGCTATACTTCCTATTTCTAAGAAGTAAAGTATAGGCAATTCTTTGCAAAATCTTGATTTAAAGCTTGATCAATGGTGGTACTTATTAATACGGTAATGAGTATTACGGTAACTTTTAAATAGAAATTATGATTTTAAACTGAAATTGAATAACTCACCACCCAGTTAGCACTTCGTCCACGAGGCAAATTATCTAACCAAGTATGCACGGCGACACTAAAATCCTTGGCATTTGACTGGTCGTTTATTTGGTCGATTAATCCGAAATTGAACGGCATATGAGCTCCCGGACTGAGTTCATTTCCATAATATAGCATGGTGTTTTCGATGGTTGAATAAGCTTCAGTTATCATGACTCTAAAAAGTATTAAATATTGTTGTTATAATTAGAGCATTTTATTTATACTTTGCTTTTTTACCTAGTTCTTCCGTCTTTATTTTTATATTCATCCATTACACTCCTGAATTCCGAAATCATTTCATATGTTTCAGGCAAGTCTTTGGTAAATGGATGATCATATAGCCCATAAGTGTTTAACGAACTAGACCCCTCGGGATTGATCGGTTCATCGTACAAATTTGGATCTTCGAACAAAAATGGTACCGCATCCACTCTATACCCGTCTACACCGCGGTCCAGCCAGAATCTCAAATTGTCCTGGTAACCCACACAGCAATAAAATCATTATAAGAAATTAAAACACATCACGGTTAAAAAGATAAGTCAAATAACCCAATTAAAAATCGTTAAATATCTAGCAACTACTTTAACTTTTTCTACAACCAGCTTACTTTCATGTTTTCCACTAACTGTTTGTTTCTGTAATTCAAATCTGGTTGTTTGGGATCGAACTGATGTAAATAATATTTTCCTCGTTTTTCGTTCCACGTCCATGCTGAGTTGCTAAACAAACTTTGCTAAAGATTAAAGAAAAAAATTAAAATTATAAATTTACTCAAATAGGTAGGTTGCTCTAAACGTTTTAAATTCCCTCCATATTTGTCTCAATAACACCGCTTTCTCATCTCTCATTCCTTAATGTCTATTATTATGCAATAAGAATGGGAATAATATGGTTAAATGTAGTCTATAATTTATATGGTATATTTATGAGATGTGTCGGAACGGCGAATGACTTTGGTTTTGTAAGGGGCTGTGTATTTTCTTTTTGACTAAATAACATAATATTACCTTACATTCTTCTTATGTATGGACATCTACTAATGTAGGTATGAATCATACTACTCGTAGCAGTGTTTATTTGTAATAATATGATTCACTGACTTAATATGTATTTTCAATATTAAAGATAGGCAAAAAAATAGCTTTACCCAGTTGTTTGGAGGTATTCTGTTTCCTTTTTCATCAGTTTTACCATCTTTCCAAATATAAAAATCTGAATAGGGGGCAATATTTTCCACAGACATTTTAAACCATTCATGTTCGTCACTTGAATGATTAGGTACAAAGTCTAAAATTAATTTGACACCTAAAATTACAAAGCAAAAATATGTTTTTAAAAGTTAGTGTAACTACGTTTATTTAGTTTTTACTTTTTATTAAATATTGTACGTTCCTATATATACTTAAAAACAATTATGAATGAATAACAAAATACTAAGGATACAATTAGATAAAAGATTTAAAAACTTATTTTGACGCTCACCTACAATATTTAATTAAAATTATAAATTTAAAGAAAAATTAAAAAAATTAAATTTTACTGCCATTTACAGTGTTAAGTAGGTACTTTTATTAATTTATTTTAACAATTATTATTATAAGTTATTAATTATTTTTAAGATATATTATATACAGAGTGATTTTTTTATCATGGGCCGCTCAATATATCACTTAGTTTAATTAATAATTGAATTTTTTTTTTCATAGTTTTTTTATATAATGTGATCTTAATTTTCCACAAATTATTATGTTTCTACCTCCCTCCCAAACTAGTTTTTTTGATAGCAACTTATGAAACTTAAATGGTAACGTATATATTTTTTAAACTTTTTAAATTAAGAATATTGCGTGCAGATAAAAATAATACTACAATTCACCTTTCCTCCTGCCCTAAACTTGAAACTTCAATAACTTCAAAAATATTTGCGACCATTTAAGTTTCAAAAGTTGCTTTCAAAAAATGTAGCTTGAGAGGGGGTAGAAACATAATAATTTGTGGAAAATTGAGATAACATTTTATAAAAACACTATAAAAAAAAAAATTCAATTTAATAATTGAATTTTTTTTTCATGAGTTTAATTAATATAAAACTCAGTGAGATATTGAGTGGCCCATGATAAAAAAAATCACCCAGTATTAAACAAATATCGCTCGGTTATTTTATCAACTTATAGTTAGAATAAGAAAATTAATTTTAGTACGTAACTTTAGAACCCATTTAGTATTGTTAAGTATTGACTGTCAACTCGATATCAACTGTCAAAAATGTATTATGCGTACCTGCATACATCTTTAGTTCTTATTTATTTTCATAATAAAATACAGCGACAAAAAATAATTATAGAATTTTATAAAATATACCGACCAAACTAGCTGTTTGATCAAATCAGGATTCTCACGACGGTGTAAACAAGGTCAACCTAATGTGATTTAACAATACAACTTCCGTTTCATTTGCATTCAGGCTCTACTATAGGGTACAGGCGAAGGTCGAGTGGGTCGGGTTTAATGACCCAAAGTGTTCATGACTGTATTTTTCCAAACATATTTTGTATATTTAAAAAAACCTTGATAAGTAATACTAATTTTAATGTCTAATATTGTGTTAATATATATATTAATATACAATACTAATACCAATACTACATAGTCATATTAATTGTCACATATCACGTTCCAAAGAGGTTAAAAATTAACAGTATTTTTCAAACACATCATATAAACGTGGAATTTGTGCGTTTACCTAATTCGTTTAATTTTTTTTGAAGAGATTCGAAATCCTCGATTGTCCCGAATATACCGTCCACTTGATTGTAATCAGAAATATCGTATCCAAAGTCCGCCATGGGCGATTTAAAAATGGGTGACAACCAAACACAGTCGATTCCCAAGTCCTTAAAGTGATCAGCTTTTTCCTCGATACCTATATTGCCACACAATGTACAAAATGTATTTAAACTTAACAGCAAATACAGTTATATGCACTAGTTATCGCAGCGGTGCAACCAGATCATTTATTTTTGTGATAGGTTAAAAGGATGTATGACGTTAAAAGTAATATTGGCGATAGCAACTCATAAGCTCTATCCCTTTAAATACGTTATTTTACTTCAGGTAACCTCGGTTAGGTTTTTATCACCAATCTAAATGAGATAAACAAATAATTTTATTTTATAATTCCCCTTCCCCTATTTGGTCGTACCGCTGAATGCTGATTATTACGTTATCGAAAGGAACTATGTACACTATACCTTTGAGGTCTCCCACACCGTCACCGTTGCTATCCTTGAAGGATCTCGGATAAATCTGGTAGAATACTGCAGTTTGCCACCAATCCAGGGGGTCATCCTGATCGTTTACGACGTGATTGCCTGTTGCTTTAGCCGCCCAATATTCTAGTACTCTGACCATACTCGAATTGAAAGAGTATATTTATTTAAAAAAAAAAATGAATCTTACTTTTTCACTGGATTTTATTTAACAAACCGACATCAAAAATATTTACTGGTGTTTTGACGCACTAGATCGCGAGAATACAGTTTTCAAGTGGTATTAGTGGGCCCCAGCTCATAAACTGTTCACCGCTATCTATACAGCTGTTGTTGTAGATGGCAGTACTTTGACTCACACTTTATTATACTTGTAATAAAAATAGATAAAACCTACCGAGACAACAAATGATTAACGTTTAAAACTCACATCTAATTACTGTATTTGTGTATGTATGTATGTAGATATTTATTAATAAATTTGTTATCAAATAAAAATATTTCATTATTTCTTGTATACTCTTAAAACGCATTAATAACAAAAATGAATCCACAACATTTTAATTCTATCATTTGAGGTTAATTGGAAGCCTTTCATTAGAGATACTTCAAAACAGGAAAGTAATGACTAATATGTTAAAGTATGAATTCGAGTAACACAATTCAAATGATTTTCTTTTATAATATAAAAATAAACAATTATCTCATCATAGTAATAGCACTTGACAAAGCAATTATTTGTATAAACATAGCTGTTAATTGAGGACGTAAAAGAAAAGCCCATAATAATAATTTGTTATTTGAAGCGTAATCATAAAACAAGTAAATATAATTAGGAAATTGAGCAATTAGAAAATACAGTGTTTAATATATATTATATATTTACTTTAACTAAATATGTTTCGAAACAGATCAATTAGTTGGTTATAATTTAAGAAAAAGTTATTAGATTTATGAGAAATAAATAAAAACAAAATTATAATCGATAAAGAAACATGTATAGCATTAATACTTTTACTATATTTTAAAATCAGTAATATGTTTTGATGCTTTATGAGACAATTACAATAATTTAGATGTGTAAATTACCAGAATATCAAGAAAATTGATGGGGACGTTTCATGTCTGCGGTCTTCAAGGTACTTTACAACAATCTATACATTTTTTATAACTAGACAAAATTATTTTATCAACTACAATAATAGATTATTATATAGTGAAGAGAAATTATGTCTAGATCACAATGCAATCTTTATTGTCTAAAATTACAGTTATTTTTTTTTCTGTGACTAGAAAAAAAAATACTTAGTTATGAATGTGTAAATTCGAAATTATAGTTTAAGGAGATATTTAGTTTATTAGCTACAATAATAATTATTATACTAGTGCGTCTCAATAAACCGTACCAAGTCAGAAAGTCTAAGTCCATATTATTGTTATTTTCGATGAACGAGACATAAAAATAGGATTTACTGTTTTTATTTAATATGCTTTGGATCGTGTATCAACTAATTCCAACTCTATAGTAAACATAAAATTTAACTTAAACTGATGTAGGTCTACTTTATTTTTTTTATCTATAAATAAAAATATGAATAATTATAAGCATTTCTATGCGTAAAACGAACAAAAGACTTACCAATATGTGCCAGATTTGAAGGGAAAATAAAATAAAATACAATTTAGTTTATTAAGGAACAATCTTACAGTAATTGAATAATGTAGCTTAGGTCTATGGAATTAATGTAAGAAATTTAAGCGTTACTTTATTTGGAAACACCAGCAGGTATTTGGTGCAAATATTTTGGAATACTTATGCCGAATTATGACATATTGACAGTCATATAAAGTGCCTTTAAAAGGAACAAAAAGGTGAAATCAATAAGGGAATATTATTTTTTTTTTTTACTTAGAGACATTTATTCAAATCGATTGGTTAACAAGTTTAAACTAATTAATAAATAACAAGTTGTTATGCGTTAAAATTGTTTTTACTTACCGATACAAATTTGAGGTAGGTACTATTTTGCCGAAAATGTCTGGACGAAATACATTTTTTTTTTTTTTGTAGAAACTAGGAATTGCTAGTTATAGATTGTTTAGAATGACTCATTTTAATAGTAATAATATATAATGTTATAATATCTGCCAGGAATTGGGTGACATGCCTCTATTGACTATTATTACGCAGCCTAGACAATGAACTCTGTTGGATATTATTGAACTTGTTTTAAAAGTGTTTTTCCTTATCGCTGACGTAAGGTCATTACGTTATTACATTATGAATATTTAATGGACACATCAACTTTTAGCAGTTTGGAAGTGGCAAGGTTTAAAATAATTGGAAACACTATAATAATGCTGTCATTTTTTGCATATAAAAACGTTCAACTTGTACAATCGGAAATAGTAATTTTATAGTCGTCGAACGCAATGTGGCCCTTCTGCGTTTTAGTAATTCTATTAACCGAAGCAGCGGCTATTTCTGATACAGGTAAACTATGTTATCATACATATATATAAATATACCTGACGGTTTTATGTACATTTTATAAGCTATTGTATCAGATCATCAATTTTTACAATTCTAAATCCTAAAAAAATACATTATTTTTCGACATATTTCTTTCATTTCTATCTGCTCAATTCCCGTCAAACTTGCATTTTTTTCTCATCCTAGATATTAAATCGACCATACACTACGACACTAAGCCGCTTTAAAATCCATGTTTTTAAATAAACAAATCAAACTACTGTTAATGTTTTTCAACCAATTTTTAACTGTAAAATCATACAATATGTTTTCTTTTTCTCGTATGTTAATTTAGTGACTGTAGAACATTTGGACTGGTGGCAAAAAGGTGTAATATACCAGGTGTATCCTAGATCATTTAAAGACAGTAATGGAGACGGCGTAGGCGATTTGAAAGGTAGGAGTTTGAATTAGTATTATGTGCAATAATAAAACATTAAGGATGTTCCGAAAATGTTGCCAAGTCGGCGAAAAAATATACAATAATTGATAGTTGATTTTATATTAAAATAGTTACTGTTTTGATAATTCAGTGCTCTGACAATGAATACTTAAATGTAAAATCAAATATTACATTATATTCAATTTGTTTTCAAAACATATTTTACTGCATTATATCGATAATTAATAAATAGGCATATATTTTACATAATTTCCAAAAGTTACAAATAGTAAGACTGACCCTCTCGACTCGAGCAACGGAAACTATACTAAGATTTACACTACCACCAAGCCATATTTGACTAGTTCTGAAATAATAAAAAAACATGTGAACGATTAACGTACCAACTAGGCTTAAATTTTCGCATATTGTGTATGCAACTCATACTTTGTTAGGTATTGAAAAAATGGCCGAGCACTTCCAAGACGCCGGCGTGGGTGCAATATGGTTATCACCAATGTTCAAGTCACCGATGGCCGACTTTGGATACGACGTTTCAAATTTCACCGAAGTGGATAGCATATTTGGTACACTAGACGATTTCAAGTCACTGCAAATAAAACTGAAATCCCTTGGTATATAACTATAATATAGTCTTTAGAAAAACTAATGAAATAAAAAGTTGATTATCCTTATATTATGTGCCTTTAGGTGTCCGCTTGTTATTGGACTTTGTGCCTAACCATTCGAGCGACGAACACGATTGGTTTCAGAAATCAATAAAGAAAATAAACCCGTACACGGACTACTATTTATGGAAAGATGGCAAAACAGACTCTAACGGTAATAGGATACCGCCAAACAATTGGGTAAGAAATAGTTATAGAAATTTATTCAAAATCTTCCAAAATAAGATTTAATTTGGATTTTTTTTAACGCTACAATATCACACGAAAGTCTGTTTAAAAACGATAACATTGTTTTTTTTTTTTACTACATTGACGATTATTAGTATAGAATGCATTATGGAAAATATACACTTGAGAAAAGTCGTGTTAAAAAAATAAATAAAAAATATAATTAAAACACTAGCTCATTCTACAAATTAATGTTGTGATATTTCCAATTGATTTAAATATTTTTATTTTTAGCGAAATTATTTTGATGGAAGCGCTTGGGAATGGTCATCTGAGAGAGAACAATATTACTTACATCAATTTTCGATCAAACAGCCAGATTTAAATTACCACTCACCAGAGCTTTTAGATGAAATGAAGGTATAGTCAATAAGCTTTACAATCTTTGGGGAGGGGCAAATGTAGTTGACAAGCTTATGTTGTCAAGATTGAGGAGCTTCAGATGATACAGAGTCTGTATCATATATTAAAATAAAACTAAAAAATAAAATCTGATAACCAATGTAGCAACACTGGCTATAATGTAAAATTGTATAAAATCACATTTATCCTCTTCGTGCTCATGCTTTAGTTACTTGTTATTCATTGAACACGGTCTAACTATAATATATTTGTATGATTAACCATAATAGAATGTGCTCCGATTTTGGCTGGACAAAGGGGTTGACGGATTTCGAGTGGACGCTTTACCGTTTTTGGTGGAGGACTCTTCTTTTAGGGACGAGCCGTTACTCGATCCAAATGCGGTCGACGATAATTACACATACTTCTTACTCGATCATATATACTCTAGAGACCAACCACAGACTTACACCATCGTTGAAGAATTTAGAAGTGTTCTGGACGAATACACAAAAATAGACGGGAACACTAGGTACAACTACAAAAATCGATGACATTATATTGGCTATAATAATATAAACATTTTACAATTTCCACAATAGACTGATGTTAACTGAAGCGTACGCGTCTATAAATTACACAATGTTGTATTACAGTCAGGACAAGCCAAGGGCTCACATGCCCTTCAATTTCAATTTGATTTCTTACTTGAATACCTCGTCGACCGCGAATGACTTTAAGGACGTCATCGACTTATGGATGGACAATATGCCTCGAGGTCGTTGGCCCAATTGGGTGGTAAGTATTCGAATACACTAGGATATAATAGTATTTAGAATATATGTATTCATGGAGGCGTGATGCGAAAAATCAGATAGGCAACCACGATAACAAACGAGTGGCTTCACGATTCGGTCAAGACATGGTGGACCCGATGAACACCCTAGTGATGCTGTTGCCAGGTACGGCCGTCACGTATAACGGAGAAGAGTTGGGCATGGCCGATGGCACCTTGCGATGGGATCAGACAGTAGATCCGTGGGGCAAGGCTGGAGGTCCGTCCAAATATGCCGTCAACTCGAGAGATCCGTTTAGAACACCTTACCATTGGAATTATACACATAATGCCGGTTAGTAGGGTATAACAGTTTATGTGATAATAAACGGGATTCTATTATTGGCGCAAAAAAATTGGTTAGAGGATAGCTTAATTTACACTGTAGACCTTGTTTTATTTTGAATGTGTGCCACTGGATTCGGTCAGTACACTATAACAACGCACGCCTAGACAAGTTACGAAAAAAAATATCCTAAAAGCTAAGTAAACAGTAAACTGTATGAAGAGGGGAAAAATGATCAAGTTAAGTTAGTTTAACTCGTTTAGATAAAAGTTTTTTAAACATTGGTTTTTTAAACAAATACACTTTTACTGTATTACATTAAGTCAATTTAACTACACAATCTGGCTGTGAGAAATTTGTTTTTTAAATACCAAAAATGTCAGTATAACGTTACATGAATTCCTAAAACTTGTAACTTGTAATAAACTATGTTGTTGACCTGCAATATTAAATTCATTACACAATAGCAAAGTTTTTTTTGTATTTTTTTTTTAATTTAGGTCTTTTGTTAGTATTTAAGTGTTCATTTATGGTTTAAAAAATAAAGACGAAACAATACATACAAACTAACACCATTAACAAACACATAAATTGCGTATGTTCTAGGTTTCTCCTCGACAATATACACTTGGCTTCCTGTCAACAGCAATTATTGGTATCTAAATTTGGTTTTCCAAAAAGAATGCACTAGAAGTCATTATAAAACTTACAAGAAACTTATAGAACTCCGGTCTATACCTACAATTTTGGAAGGCGACCTCACTCTTTATGTGATTTCAGATTGGGTGCTTGCCTTTACCAGGTAATTTTACATCTACAATTTAAATAATTTTGTATGTTACGGTACCTATCTTTTTTTTTATCTTGACATGTCACATTATAAACGTAAGCGGAAGAAATATTATAGTAAACGTGTAATTATTTTGAATAAACGTTGTTGTATTTTTCATTATGTTTTGTACTAGACTTATTACTATTATTTGAGACAATACTTTTTTGGTAACTATATACTTGTTTTTATAATTTGTATTCCCACATTTAAAGAAGGTACTTGTAAATTTAATACTATACATAGTTACTTTTAAATAATGTGTCAATGACATTGTCAACTCATGTTTTTTTTTCTATTCTAGAAAACTTAAGGGTCACGAAGACTATTACATTATTTTAAATATTGGGTCGGAACAAGAGACAATTGTTCTAAAGAAACATTTTCAAAATTTACCGCATAATTTGATTGTGCGCATCTCAAGTATAAATTCAATGCACTTAGAAAAGTAAGTTTGTCATATTTGAATAATTGTGATTTTATGTAAAACCATACGCACCTATACCGATACTAAAACTATTTCATTTTTGCAATTGCAAATAGTTTGCAATTAGTTTCATTTAAGAAAGAGAGGACCAAAGTAGTATGTGAACTAATATAGAGGGTATAATTATGAAAGAGTATTAAAGTGAAAACAAATCCTAACCAGTATTTTGTTAACATAATAAATAAAGATCATAGTATCTATACATTTGACAGGGTGAACTATTTTTATTTGTTTATAAAAATACAAAATTATAAAAAAAGTTTTGTTTAGATTTTGATATGTTTTGTTCCAGCGATTACATTGATACGAATATACCTTTGGAAATGAGGCCAAAATCGTCGTTAGTACTTTCATATTAACTTCTCATCAACTGTGTTGAGTTCAAGTGCACTTTATTTTAGATAAATGTTATTTAAACGATAAACAAAATCACCATCATCATCATTTACACATATTTTTGTAAAGTTCGTAATTTCAAACACTAATTAGATTGGCCACTATTATAATCGGTACTATTAATCTTTTAAATTCAAAGTCCAATAATTCAATAAGGTTAGCCCTAAGTCTTTACATCTTTGGGGAGGGGGGTGGTAATTACCAGATGAGTCGAATTCAAGCAAAAAATTAATTTCAAGTGTTTTCAAAATTGACTGATTATGACCACTCTCCGAAGATATCTTTAATGTAGACATATTACAATATAAACTAAATACTATATTTATCGGTCGTATATGTTTAAATTATTTAAGCAAATAAAATTCTAACCGTGTATTATATGATGATTTCATTATTGTTGTAATCTTTTATAATGTAAAAATGAATGATTTTAATAGAAAAAGTTGTATTTATCATAATATTATGTATCTATTTTGGCTAAAATCACTATTTTTTGTAATATTATTGCTGAATACAATAATAATATGTAATATTACATTACCTTTTAATTTGTATGCTGTAATTTTCCAAAACCACTCATCACAAAAATAATATACAGGATTTATTGGTCGTTCGCGCATGTGTATTAGGGTTTCACATAATATAATAAATATAGAATAATAATAATAATAATGAATAATGTACCATTTATTTAAGGATTTTCATTAATTATAAATTAAACAGTTATAAACAAGTGTTTTTTTCTCATTATATACTTATGTAGGAATGTATAGATATACAAATAATAAGAAAGGCATAATGTTTACAAAACACATAAATACATAATAAATAGTTTATTTACATTGTAAAATCTAATATTCGTATGTTTAGTATTTATTATACTTTTTCCTTTTTTTTTTATACAAATCATATTTTTAGAATATTTCGGTTATTAAAAAAGTAAGTTAGAGCAACGTTAAAAAATACTCAAATTCAATTAAAACACATTTAATTAACACAGTGACATATCCAGCTGTGGTGATAACCTTTGAGATAAAAAAGAAAACAAACAAAAAAATAAATAAACAAACAAACAAACAAAAGTAAAATGTTGTCTGCATGCAACCAGCAAAGAAGTAACCCAATAGAATGAAGCAACAAAACTCACTGAAACATCATAAAAACAAACGAAGAGAATAAATTAGGACAGATTAAAAAAAATGAAAATAAAATATAGTAAAGTAAACGTTGGATGCATCCATGGTTTGTACCCATACAAATTTCATTTCGGTCCAGTTAAAATTTATGAGTTGTAAAGTATACTAGATTGTTGGGAATCCTGGGAAATGTGTATAAACATTAACAAATTTCTACATATACATAAGTAAAAAAAAATGTGACTTATAGGCTATAGCTACTTGATTAAAATATAAAAATAACAGCTGTTAATTATAATAATAAGTGCCGTATAATATAAAAACTAGGGTTAAATGTCTTAAACAATGAGGAAAATAATTAAATACTTTTAATAAAATCACTTAATCAGTGGGTCACCGCAAGTTTTATATTTAGGAGAGGCAAAAACATTTAGCGTAGTACCCCTTCTATCACCTCTATCTTTTATTAGAGATATAAAATCACATTAAAGATTGAGGCTCAATACCACCTATATCCTCTGGTTGCGCCGCTAAAAACAATATCGTTTTTATATAGACTTATTTAATTTTCAATACTGTACACCGATGCGATATACTGAGTCGTGATAGCGATGATAAAAAAAGCATGCTTGGTTAAACTAAGAATTAAGAAACAATTAATATAAAATATAATAGTTGTAGTAAATATATTATAATAAATTATAGTTATCTAATATTTGACCACTTACGCATAGAAAAATGATTAGAAAAAATATATATATTATAGTATATAATATAAATTAATAAAATATTTACTTAGATAAGTGCTTTTTTTTTTTAGTCGTCTTATTTTTAGAATAGGTCTTGTAATCAGGGGTTGGTAAAATTTTGTTTTTATTTTGTTATAATTAACAGGAAAAAAGCAAAATTTTAGACTGCAATTTAGTGTAATATTGAAAGCAAGTTCTCTCGACTACAACTTACAAATAACAATTCAAATTCGAAATAACTACATATTATAATAAATCTTAATTTAAACCAAATTTACAGGCGTAGTGCCAATTTTGACTATAATATTCTAGAACATAGCACACTGCGATAATTAGCATTCAGCTGCTCTGTCTAATAATATAGTTCAAATGTCGGTAATTTTTTAGTTCCTTATACGTGAAACATAATTTATTTCAATCGTAGAATATTGGTATGTATATAGTATTGTGATATTATATGTAACTTAATTACACAAAGCGTTTTTCAAACACACCATGAAATTCAGAAATCGTCTCACCTTAATTATTCACCCTGTATTTATAAATATAATATAAATAAATTACACTAGTCAATTGTGAGTTATATGCATGTCATAGCTGATACATAATTATAGCATATGGAAAGATGACGAAAGATGCATGCGGTTATAAATTAGGGTTGAAAGACATAACGGACAAAAGTCCGTGAGCATGAGCATAAAAACAAATAACTCAATAGCAATAACAGAATTAAATTTACAAACATACCCTGTGATAAAGCATACACATTCGTTAAGTTTAATTCCGTTCAATCATTATTTCGAGGTAACGAAGAATAAAATACAGTTTCATAGTGTTGATTAGCCAATAATAAGTATTTTTTCGCAGTCTATATTTAACGGCTACATTTAGGCATGCAATATTTAACAACCCACACAGCAATTTAAAAATGCCAATTCGTTCTGAATTTCCGTCGAAAATGATTATGTAATTGTATTGTAATATTGTAAAAAGTTTATAATAGTTATAAGCTATTATTTAGAACATATTAAAATTACCGAAATATTTGATTTCGTATCTTATTTTATATATATTTTTTTAATAATGTATTATTGCTGTGTAGGGTACTAGATAAATTGATATATCATAGCACAAGAATATAAAAGGGCTGTAATAATTACAGTTTCATAATATAAATATAATATATATATTATATATATTACACTGTACTTAGCAATGAAGGAATCATTGGAGTGAACGTTACAATGTGACCAGTTAATAACCAACAAATACTATAACCTATTTGTTTATAACCAAATGTTTTTTTAAAACCGTTTTAGATTAATAAGTAAAGGTGTTCTGTTTTTGATAACCAACAAGTCTTAATTTAGGTAGATTACATTTTGTTGGTATAATAATAACACCGAACATTCAATACTATAGAAATTTAATTTCGTCATTCTGGTTACACTGCAACTCGCAACTCACCTTTTCGTTCATTTCATATTGTACGTATATTTATATAAATTGTTTTTTTTTTTGCAAACTATAGATTTGATCGTTTATATATTATAATCGGAGAGCGTTGATTGCAACAACAATGAAGATAGTGGAAATATTTTGAAACTTTACTACCATGGATACAGAGAGGGGAACGAACTACGAATCCTTTCGTTGACACTAACCAGCGACGACGATCCAAACAGCCTGTACCATTCCGTCAACGAAGTGCCGGGACTAGTTGATATGTTGTCCATGTAAATGACTGCTACTCCCATGAACACTTTTCTACCTTTTTCGCGGCCGTAATCGCCCCAAACCGACACCTAAACAACAATTGGCGTTATTAGTTTCCATTTCTGACCGGCCGTTAATCTGTGGTAGGTTTTATGGAGACAAAAACCGTGTCTAAAAGTTTACAAAAATAACCAAAAATTGCTCGAGTTACCCAGATTTCCAATAGTGTTCAGTGTCCCAAGTTACAGTAGAGATTTTATGTGCCAAGAAAAATATGTCATTAAGAGTGAAAACAAATAAAGAAACCGCTGAAAGTCGAGGTGGACGTGAGGAATGACTTTGTAAGATAGAATTAGGAATAAGTGTAATAAGTAAATTAGAGTTTGAGATTTACGCAAGAGTTCTGGAAAATAGATTGAGGTGTTTTAAAATGCGACGAAAGAAGATTCCACTGTTTGAAACGTCATATGTATGGGATAGGTTGAGGAGGAAGAGAAAGAAGAAGCTAAATATTGCATATAAAATGTACAATATTGTCATTTGGGTTTTCGCCTTCGAAATGTTATGATTCTAAGTTCTAACTCACCTGAATCAAACATCCAGCCGGCGAGCTTTTGAATTTAAGAACTTCCATGTACTTAGGTTGTAAGCTCTCTTTAATTGTTTTTGTGCGGTGTTTTTCTACACATTTTTTTCCTTTCACTAAATACACTTTAACGTATGTATCTGCGAAAATAAATGGTGTCTTAGTTCATATGTATATAATAACTATATGCTTTAATCAATTAACCTTTTCGAGTATAGATAACGAGTAAATAACAAATTAAAAATGTTAATTAATTAACCTGATAGTCACGTTTCGATTAACATTTACCTGGAAGTTTTGTTTTAGTCTCCTTTACGTTCATCAGATTGTTTGCTTCAAAAACGGTAACTTCCATAAAGTTAACGAAAAAATTGAACCCAATTTTAACGTCACCCCTGTACGGAGTACCCAAAATTTGTCGGCTCACTCTTTGCCCAGGACCAAGTTTTCCGATGAAATTTGTCACTTCACCTTCGGTAGACTGGCCGGCGCTAAAATGATGAGGTAAACCAATTTAAATGCATTCCAGTTAAGCTACGGTAATGCTTCTCTCTAAGAGAACAAGCTACAATAATCACTATACATAGTTCATTTTCATTAAAAGAAAAAAAGTACCGGCACGAGATGCCGTTATGTTTGAAGAAATTGATAGTCACGAGAAGACCAAACATGAGAACAGCATTTCAAGTAAGTAGATAATATCAGGTATAAACAATAACATCCTAAATAGAAACTTACCTGGGTTATTATATTTTTAAATATATACAGTGTATACACAAAATAGTAAAAAAAAAAATTATATACAAGATTTTTATGTTGTTTCTGAGTTATTGGTTTTATCAAATTGAACAGCTTATATTTTGAACAAATAAACTTTTCTATTACTTATATACAATTTGTATTTATTTAAAATATTTTATCAAATAATTAAAACTTCTTTGGAGCTATTATAAACAGATAATGAGTTCCCGTCTTATAACATACCATTTATATATTTATAATTCATTACAAAAACATAATTAAAATAATATTTTTGTGTTATAATTAATTGGCGAAAAAAGGTGAGTTTGTGGTCAATTAATTTTATATTTTTATAATTTATTTTACAAAATTTCACCAAACATTTATACAACAGTCCAATTTTCTTTTTAAATTTATATTTAGTGAGAGATAAAACAAATGTAAATTATTTCGTTTAAGTATCAATGTTTTTCCATATTTTATTTTAACTTTCTCTTATACATTTTTGCGATAATATACAAGCACATGCAAACAAACAATACAATTATAAAAACAAAATGAAGTTCTAACAAAAGATTACTAAATCAAGCGGCATACAATAGTTGCTACTAATATTTACAACAATTCAAAATATATTTTTGTTTTGTTTACCAATAGGTGTCTATTGATTTTTTTACTCACCACTTCATACTTCTTTACTCCGCTAAAATATTTTGTATTAGGAAATATTGATCTGGTTATTATATATAATTATTTTTCAAATTTAAATTTGTCCTAACGCGTATTACGGTAAAAAATATATTTATTAGTACAAAATATAAAGATACGTATCGAAGAATTTTCACATACTGTTGTGTAAGTAACAATAAAATTAATTATTTAAAACTTTAAAAAAACGTTGATCTAAAATTCTTTTAATAACAATATTCGTTACATTTTATATACAACACATTATATTAAATATAATACATAGAAATACATCAGTTTATCGGTTTACCTGATGGAAACAACTTTGGAAGCAAGTAATAATATGTTAAAATCAAGAACTTCACAATGAAAGCTAAATGACATATACCTATACTATATGATAGTAAAAACAATCTACTGACGGTTATATATTTTTTTAAAAATGCTATAAAGAAAAAAAAATGATCTTCTTTTCTTTACCCACGTTATTATATCAATGTTTAAACACTGCTCACAACGGTGTTTCTCTAAAAAATACCTCTCGCTTTTATTCGTTGACCTTTGTCGGCAAATATCTAAGAAATAACATTTCTCTCTTTAACATTTATACCATGCTAAAACATCATGTCGTCGTTAAATGAAAAATTGTAACATGTCTACAGGATAGTCGAGAAAATTTAATGATTTGGAAAGTTTACTTTCCAACGGCCAACCCCAAATAACAAAATAAACAATAATTTTAAATAGTTCCTAGAAACTAAACCTACGGAATAACCGTTAAATATATAATATAATATATTATAATGAGTCACTCTATAACTAAATCTGTGGCCAAGTCGAGAAGTTCGACTCGATTATTTATTTTCAAACTATATAAGAAACGTTAAAGTTTAAATGGCTATAGGGACACCGTCGTACTGTAGTAATAATACGAGTCGGGTGAATTACAAATGGTTTTATAACATTTATGTAATCCCAGCTCGACAATAATTTGCGTACAGACAGTATAAACGTGCAGTAAGAGAAGAGTTGTAAGCCAAAAAAATAAAACACGCAGGCCAAAATAGAGATAAATTGATGTATTTCATGGATGGCATGGGAGACATTTTGTTTTACTTACGAGCTCGGACAATCGCTAGAAAGACTGGTCAGGCTTGCTTGTCTGCCCGGGGCCACCTCTTGGGACCGCTTAAAATTGGGTTGGGCGCCACCGCCTCCGCCACCTGAACCGCGTTTCCCTTTCGAGCTCCGTCCTTCTAGCCAACAATCAATCAAATAAAACAATATCCGAAACATGTACATTGGTAAGGGATGGTACTAGACATTTTTAATAACACTATACAACGATCAGCAATTTAGGGTTCAGGTGAAAATTTGTTAGTAGTCGGCGCACTCTTGCTAAATTAAATAATATGTAAAATATTATATTATAAATGATTAATTACACGTTTTATACAAAAAAAAAATCGTTTTATAAATATTCGACTATACATTATTATTAACGTCATTATTATAAATGTATACCCTAATAAAGCTTGCTACATCTATGCACGAATTCCTAATTTATCGTTAGGTACGGCTAAGTGAAAAAAATACGGTAAATCATCTAACCGGCGTACGGCTATTGGTTGGCTACAGTGGTTGAAAATACTCCAACCCCAATAGACGTATCCGGGGTGTATTGGTAGTTCGCAATATATATACAAGCGTCTCATTATTCTTGAATACACAACATAATATTATAATTGAGTATTTCTAGCGACGATGTTCTTATTTTTTACAAAATCATTTCTGATATTTTGCACAAACATTCTACAACAAAAATTATATGTACACGAGTGATGATCCAATCCCCATGCAAAGGCAAACTTCTTTAAAATTATTATTTGTTGAAAAATCATCACACCAAAACGACAATATACAAAGGCTTCATTGACTTTTACCATGTTTGGTCTTCATACCGGATACCATCAATATCTCCACGTTTTTTAAAAAAAATTATATTATGTCATTTAAAAACACAAAATAGCAAAGCTTTTTATTTTTTATTAACCTTTCTCCGTCTTGGGATGCGTCACCGTCACTAGAAACGCTGGACGGCTGTTTGATGAGGGGACGACTTGCCCCAGGCAGCACTTCCTCGCTTCTGTGTACCGTAAACGAAGATTTTCCTTTCGAACCGAAACCTAACCTACGCTTACGCCCTTCAAATCCAGCCCAAAATTAATCATTTTATAATTGCGCAATAATAAACAGATAACATGACTAACAAAAATAAATAATAAATTGAAACTAATATTAAATATTATGTGTAAAGGACTTGGGAAATGAAAATCATTTTTTCTTGATCAAATCAGACTTATGAACGGATGCGATCATGTGAAATATCGCAGAATGACAATAGGTACAATAATTGTGTATTAAAATTAAACAAATTTAAGAACAGATTATTTTTTTAAGAACAAAGTAGAACTATAATTTACAGTGTATTAATGTAGACTAGGCACTGTGTCAAATTAGATACATTTTAAATAGTATGTTTTTCAGTTTTTACTTTAGTTTTAAAAGGAATGTAAAGTTCGCGTACTCCGTATGTTAACCAGGAAAACTAGATTTGACTCAAACAAATTATCAACATTTAAGTTTTTAAGTTCTTGTTTTTGTGTTTTTCTAAGAATTTCTCACCAGTTGCTGATAGTTGTGAAGCGGATGCACTTTTTTTGCCCATACCAGATGCAGAAGAGTTGGTCCCAGAAGCTGAGCTTTTTCCGCCACTTTCGGTTAAAGAAGACGTGTCACCTCTTCGTTTTCCAGAACTGCCAGAGTCTAAACGAGCATCATAATATATGAGACAAAGGTAAATAGAAATAACGTGTCTGACGCCTTACCGAGAGCGTTTTCAGCCTGCACATCGGCGTTTGACAGACTTCTTGAGAATTGAGTCCTCTTGCTATCGGTAGAAGGAACCGTGACTGGCGATTGCTGCGATCCGGATCTACTGTGCGACGACGCTCCATAATCACTGCCATGGACAATTGCATTTAAAGGGTCGGTTAAAGCATTACTAAACGCTACAGCAGCGCCACTATAGCTACCCGCTACAACTAACATGGACTCGCCTAAATCTAGTGTCAGGTTTCTTTTCCTACGGTTTTGGTACCTTTCTGTTGGAGACTGAAAGCCTACCAGATCCAGCCCGCTGTCAGAATCATAAATAGGATACTGATTCTCTAGATCATTGGCCAAGTTGAACCGGGTCTTTTTTACAGGCTTTGGGTTTTCAGTAGGCGAATTTTCCATTAAAACGGGTCTATTGTCTATCGGATGGAGCAAGTAATAATCGGCAGGAAATGAGTTATAACGATACAAGTAAATACTATCACGCTTGCTTCTACTTCGACTAAAACTACAGCTAGGAGAATGGGACATGGATGGGTAGCGGTATTCGGTGGCGTTGCAGCAGCTGCAAAAGATAAAACACGTTGGTGTGAGATTTCTGTCATCTCAATCATCAATATGCACGTGGGGAATGTGTAATACATATTTTTCCGATAAAATTAATGCGTTTTCCAAGATACAGTACGTTTTATACATTCAAAAAATGTTGAAACATTGATAAAACATATACTCGACCCCTACTAATTCGAGCAACTCATTCTAATCATTATCGTTTTTATTGTATGCTAATGTTTTTAATAATCCTCCCTACAAATTTTATTATAAAATTTGAAATTTTAACCTCAAATGTTATACGAATAATTACCAAAATCTCGTTGATCTAGGCTGTTCTGACTGTGTAGACAATGCACTGCTTATGACACTATCACTGTCATCTATATCACACGTATCTCCAGTTTCTCCTCTGGACATGGACCCTCTAGTATTATGAGTGGGCGATAGCGACCGTAATTGTTGTAAGGGAATATCGCTATCACTGAGACCACCGTAGTGGTGTAATCTACTAAACCCCCCTCCAGATCTACCCTGCATTCTTCTTGGTTGTACTTGTCTCATTCTTCTTCTCATAGATGAAGTCTGATCATCAAAATACTGAAAAAAAATCAAATTGCTATTATAATAAAAATATATTGATTAGTCTGTACGATATATTGTAATAAAGAGTAAATCAATTATTTAAGGAAATTATTTATCTAGCATACAGTATCTTACGTATGATAATCGATCGTCTAAGGAAGAAGGCATGGTCCCTGGTATTTGAGGTAATTGACGCTTTTTAGGCGTTGAAGTAGGCGTCGTGGTCGCTGATCTAGCAAAGAATCTCGTATTTCCTTGCCGATAGCTTGGGACACCTCCTGGATACCTATAATCTGGTGGTGATAAGCTTCGCCTGTCATAAGATGAGGTCGGGCTTTTCGATCGCGATCTGGTGTGTTGGCTAGGAGAATCAGTCGGAGCAGCAGATCTCGATCGATGACTCACGCTGGTCGTGGGTCGATTTGGAACAGACTGTTGCTGTTAAAAAAAACAGTATCAATATAAACGTAACGTTATCATTTTATGAGACCTTTATAGTTTACTCACTTTTACACTTGTTTCGTAACTATATTTTTTTTCAATCGGTGAGCCATAAATATACGATTTTTGCAGCGGAGACGAGATATCTCTGCGACTCTTTCTCCGGTCTAAGTGATCATAGTCAGGCGGAGGACTGAAATCATATTGTTAACGTCAGTCATAGTAGAGCATATTTTCGCATAATTATGTGACCATTCGACTAACGTACCTTATGGAGCTACCAAGACTACTAATCGACGCACCATCAGCACCAACTCTTCTACTACTACAGCAATCATCGACATCTGATGCGTCCGAATCGGATTGCCGTGATAGCGTTGATGGCGGAGACAGATGTTCACCGTATTCCATATCATAATCTCCTATCGAGATACCGCCTTCTCCCTGAAAAATAATAAAGCCTGTATATCTGAGTAACCGGTAAAGTGATTTTGCACGTAAACGCTCATACAGCGTTATACAGAAGATAATATTCAAATTATGATAATACATATTTTGATGAACTTAAAACATGATTGGGATAAGTGGAGACAAATGCGATGGAAACTCAAGGTGATCTAGCCTGCGCTGCTTGAGTCTAAAGAGAAAAATTTAAGCTTACGGTTATTTCTTGGTGGGCCGTCAACAGATACCACTCCGCCAAGTTGTCGAGTTTCTTCAAGCCTAGTTCTATTAGCACCTCTCCGAGAAATTGATTTGTAGGATTATTATCGTAATCCCATATCGATATTTGAAGGACTTTAAACTTTAAATCCGATCTCCTCATGGTGGTGAACGAGAAGCTTTGATTCCATTTGGGATCGGTGGAGTTCATTATTGTTTTAGTCCTACGTTTCGATTTTTCGCTAGTATCCGGTAAGAGACACACTTTAGCGTATGCCGATCTCGGCGATCCGTCAGGTCGCGGTAACAGATTTGAAGCGGCCATAATGGACACGACCAATTTCAACGATTGTTGGTCGAAACCTAGTTTAACCTGTACGATCGAAAAAATAGTGTTGAAAAATATATTATCAGCATGATGCATTCGGGCCTTCAGATCTACCTGTGTTTTTCCACCAACATGTAAACTGTTGGGCCCGGTAACACTTTTGGAAGCCCTCAAAATTCGCGACGGATTCGTAGCTAAATGTTCGGGGCTGCCCGGTGAAGTTACCATGACGTACGGTTTGTCTTTTCGTAAGTCGTACAACCCTGAAAATACACAAAACATTCAATATCATTTTAAGCATAGGGACGCGTGTAAATTTTTGTATCTAATGGGGTTAGGGGCGTCAGTAGGGCGGTTTGAAATCGCGCTAACCAATTGAACTCGCTGTAGCTGAAAGCAAATGAAACAAGCATCATTAATCAATAAAAGTATTACATTAAGGGATTTAAGGACATCGTATTTCAAAGGGTATACCTTTAGCGGGGGTTCCGTAACTGGCCCTCCTTGGCAGTATCGACCTAGAAACTTTGAGCTCAATTTGTGGTAAGTGCTTCGACTCCATAATGATATCTGCCACTTCTTTTTGTGTTTTTCCTTGCAACAAGCAACCGTTCCATTCTAAAACTTCATCTCCTGTAGCAAAAAATAAATATAAGTATAAATAAATACATAAATGATAAGTGTTTTAATGCACTATGTTACTACGCATAGAATTAATAGTTTGATAATAAAGTTGTTTTATATTAATTCTATACTAAAAGCTGAAATACATTCTACATTTATATCAACTATACTATTGTGTTCTCGTCTAGTTTAATACACTCTATTAACACATATCTCTAATAAATCACTAAGATAGTTTTGTAAAAATAAAAAATGATTTAGGACGATCAAAATGAATCTACGTCTCTTTACTCAGGTAATATTAAATAGTAACAATTATTACTAGTCATTTTTACTTTTTTCAATTAATATTCAATATCAATTAATAAGCTAAAAAAACCTCAAATTAAGATAACGTCTCACACCCTATTTATTAAGGAGTTAGGTATAGGCAATTTATTGACAAAGCTTAATTTAAAGGTTAAACTGTGATGTATAATTATTAGTTCAGTAATTAGGACTCTTTTCGATAGTTAAATAATTTGTCTGACTATCATTATTAGCTGACAATTTTTGGAAGAAAGAAAGCCAACTTATATTTAATGTTTATACAACGTAAAAATACATATGCGACGTCCTGGGGATTGCATGCGGTTGGTTTTTAAGGAGTTTTGTATAGGCAATATTTAAGAAAACAGTGGTTTTAATCAATTTCGATCATGTCAATTAATTTACCGGTTAATTTGTATTAGCTTCATGGTATTATTTTTAATTTAAATTATTTTGTCTATGAGTAAAAACCACACAGGCTGAACCAGTAATCCGATAAGTAATCTGAAAACAGATTTGAATTTGTCATGAAGTTTACTTATGATCGGTCAAGGTACTTTTTTGATACCTTATTCCTACTATGTATAAAACACGTTTGAACATTATATAAAATTTCAAATTTTAAAATCAAATTTGGAAAGGATTAAAATTAAAAATTGAAAAAAGTACCCTGACCGATCATAAGTAAACTTCATGGCAAATTAAAATTTGTTTTTAGATTGCTTATCGGATCACTGGTTCGGTCTGTGCAATGGAATAAAAATGATGTGTTTTGGCTGAAAAACCCGACCGCATGCAATCCCCTTAAGTATTTAGTAACTTTAAACCAGTGTTCTCTTTCTTATCATCAAAATTAATTCTTTCTATAAACAATTTTGCAGTACGCATTTTTAAAGTGATTAAGGTAGTAAAGTCTAAGTCTATATGAATTTAAGATTAAAGTAGTTTTTTTTAAATTTAAATTTCATTAATTTTAAAACCGAAATAAGAATTTATCTCTATTAATAGAAATATAATAAATAAAATTATTTTTGTATTGCTTATTTCAGCGTGTTATCTATTATATTATGTTGATAGCTATGTGTCTATATAATTTTATATAGGAGCAATACTGAGTCTGGAAGGCATACATGTAATCGATGTAAATCACACATCTAAATACAAGTAAAATAGCTCAACACTGGTTAATAGTCGACCGTGTTTTGTCAATAGCATCACATCATATACTTATCATAAAATATCTATTAATTGAAAATGAATGTATAATTAAAATGAATGGTTTTAAATATATTATAATTGCATTTAAGAATCCGACTTGACGTCACATGATAATACAACACAACAGACGCGTTTAGGAAAACACATCAAACATAAGTGTAGAGTATACACTTGTCGGTAGTATTTTGACCGATGAGAGAAAAGGATGAGATGGCACAATAATAATAATAATAAATAATTTGATAAGGGAATGGAATAAAGAAGCAGAGACCTCAATGTCCCACTAACCCGGTTTCAAATTTCCCTCCATGTCGGCGGTACTGCCTTTCCGGACGCGATCGATAATCGCACATCTCCTTCCGGTGGCCGACAGGAGTTTTCCGCCGGTGATTTTCAGGCCCAACATGGCGGCCGCGCTGGAAGACGGACTGACCGGGGTCTCCCACACAGACTTGTTAAGCACCATATGACCTATCAAGAACTTGTTGTCGGGGCTCCGTTGCCACGACATCGGTTGCTGCAAACAGAATCGGCATTAGCCCCTCGTGTCGGCAACCGCCTAATTTTGGTAAACACTATCTAATCGTAACTCAACACACCGCCAAAAATGTATAAATATTACCAACCGGCCGCTATAAAACTACAATCACAGTTGTGTCGTTTCACCCGTCGAGCCGTTCAAGTACGTTCAATCATTTTGGAGTATATTCCAATGATATTTTGAAGTCATTCGATGCCCGTAAGCGAAGGACATTTTGAATGATTTCTGTGACAAATCGAATACTTAACCGTTGTCCTCCATTAATCATTATATACGACATTAAAAAAAATGTATATATATATATATATATAACTCTCGATTAACTATAAATGTATCGTCCGGAGTAGGCATTTTATTCAACGAAAAATAGAAAATCAATAATAATACTTGATTTGTGAAATGATAATTTCTCGAAATCCGTTTATCTATCTCATAAAATATTCCTTTACCCATCTCTAATACGGCCGCAATAACTTGGCCCGTACATTTTTTAATATATTTACCGTCGGCCCTCTGAGAAATTATAAATGATTTATTTTTAATTTCTTGACAGATATCTATGTAAAAACACGCCATAAGAAAGAAAAAAAGAAACAATTTTGCAAATTTGATTTTGATTTAGTCGGGCCTTTTTTTTTTAAGGTATGGTTTACTCGTAAAACTTGCAGCAGTGTCTGGTTACAATTAGATGCTTTATATTAAAATTATCAACAACAACTACAATACTATAGGTCGATAACTACTTAGGAAAAACGTAGAAAGCACACACGCCTTCGTAAGTGTATTAAAGCTTGACATGCAAATAAAACAAATAATAACTAATGTTCATGCAAAATACGAGATAGCGGTAAATGAAAAATACATATTCTCAAGACTTACAACATAAAGTTTTAAGAAGTAAGTTTTATGATTTCCATAACAATGCGCGTTTAAGCGGTAAGAAGAGAAAATAAATGGTGGAAGATTTATCAAATTATATCAAGTTTCTGGAATTAAAAAAACTTTTCTTTGTCTTACCTTCAGTATAAAATGTTTGGGCGACAATGAAGTTTTTGAAAATAAATTAAATCTTAACCGTAGGATGCATATAAACATCGTATATTACTGATTATATATACTGTCTTTGGTAAGATTGTTTTTAATATTTAATACAATGTAGGTAATACTACCTAATTTTTCATATATTTTGCATTGCCAAATATCTTTGCGACCTAACTTAATTTGTGTCGTCCCGCCTTTGCACTACTAACTATATTTAAATGTAATCTTATTATATAAACTTATCTATACAACCATAATACCATTAATATATATCATACAATGTATAAAAAAAACTTAAGCAACACTTGTGGTTATACGTAGAAATTAAATAAACTAAAAAATATCAACCACAAAAAGCCCTCAACCACAAAAAAATAATACTAGGCGCGTATTTAATTAGCAATGCTATCACAAGAGATTAAACTCAGTCAGACTCAGTCTGTTGTGAGCCCTGATGATGATAAGATTGCTACAGAGTTACTCGTATAGTATTATTTTTTGCGGTTAAGGATTTTTAAAATAATTTATTACATTATTTCTTTACAGTGTATAGTTTTTCAAAATACATCTCAATTTCAAGTATCTAAAGGTACTCTACGTACTAATATCTTGTATAAATTGAAAGTATCTAGTTCGTAAAATCGGTACTTCAATATATAGTTTAGGATTGTGTTATAAAATTTAACATGATATTTTGTGTGCAGTGTGTACTTTTATAAACATAGAATATCGAGTTTTTTGAAGCAATTATTGATGACAATTACATAAAGTTAATAAACGATTCTGAAATTAAGTCTTATACTGGATGTAAGCGATTAATTAAAATTGTTCGTTCGATTAAAAAAAAATGTATGAACTATTATTACAAAAGTTATCTAGTTTTTAGGATATGGACAATATAAGAATGTCCCCAAACTGTTTGTTTTTTATACAAGTACAAATTATATATTCTATATATCAAATTAGTAAATGCCTTCCTATTGGTTATTGTGTTATTTGTTTGGCTACCACAATGTAATACCTTTGTGTCGTTGAGGTACAACGGGTCTTCGTTGGACGTAAAAATCGAGCTGCAAGTATCGAACCCAGAGTCTTTAGACGTCTGTTGAGCAGGTTGATGGTGCCGATGGTCAAACCTCACCGTTTTCTTGCGTCTGGGACCGTTAATCGTGGCCATCTTGCGGCAAATCGCTAAATGACAACACATAACCTCACCTAATCTCAAACCGCCCAGACTCAAGAGCCCCGACCGCAGTTGTTATTGCGCAGTAAAAAGAAAAGTAAGTCATAGTTATAGTAGTAGTGGGCAATATAGTACCAGTAGTAGGAGTTGTTGTAGTATTTTTAGTAGTATTATAATAATAGTATACACAGGGAAAAACAATGTCACGACGCATGCATGTTTGCGGGGTAACGCCATAGTAAAACTCAAAGTAGAAAAACACAAAAAAATTAAAACAAATCCATCATTCAACACCAAAAAATAAATAGTAAATAGGTAATATACATAACAATCGAACACACTGAATGTAGAAAAAAAACGTTATCGCATATTATAGAACAAACATAAAGAAAAACGGACTGTATGGATGCCAAAAAAAAAAACCTACCGATGAAAACGTCATTGAATGTTTATAAGGCTGATCTTCTCCCGCGTTAAACTCTGCGTCACCTGTACGTCAGTTCAATCAATAACAAATATGCTACAGTGTTCGGGAAATAATAAATATATTCACATAATATGAGTGCACCCGCCTATTTGCTTGTGCTCCACTCTGAGTCCTAACGCGTTAAAATTAATTCAAATAGAAAAAAACTAGTACCGACGGAACGGCGTATTTTTTATTGATTAAACTATAATACATTATTATACATCACAACTGGTGATGCACACATGGTCGGAATCGAGTCGAAAAACAAATTATTTGTATGATGTATCGATAAAAATTTAGCTAAATCGCTTTGAAAGTTCGGGGTCGGTTTGCCATAGTGATACTGTAAATTATGCACCTATCTATCTAACGTGAGGTTACCTTACCTTTTTCACTTTCGTGTTCGTCACAGCTGGTACACTCCGACGTGGACCTCAGCTCTTCCTCCGAACTGGAAAAGCTGATATGCTGCTGGTGCGAGTGTAGACGATCGGCAGGTACCGTGTTGCCAGGTCTTTTGTGTTTGCGAGGCACAGTAGCACCGGCCCCGCGGACTACTGACTGTTTATCCGCCGGCCCGAATTGGTGGGGCGAATGATGAGCCCTAGACGATTGACTCACGCCGTTCCTATGTGATCCTTCTAGTTGTCCACCACGTTGGTAGTAGTCGTCACGGGACTGCAAATACAACCGACAAATGAACATCATAAACATTTACAAAAAAAAAAAATACTAGTGGTTTGTGAGCGTGGGTATAACTATGATATCACATAATATATGCATATATAACGTATTATAGGAGAATTTAACATAAGAAACCTTTCTAAATATTAGCTATTCGAAGATATTCGAATCATAAGAAATAGCACAGAGTTCTGTGAGATGTCAGATTTTTGACATTATACGGAAATCGACAACCCTTAAGTATCTCGTTTTCAGTGGCATTCTGCAAAGGTTGCTTTACAAATGGCTACTGGCGTTCATTTAGAACCCAATTACTAAATCGTATTATTGCATAAGTCATAAGATACACAGACATGTGCAAAGGATGATACTTAAATCCTCACAAATTCTTATCCGAATTGATCATCACATCATCATCATGAAGGCTCAACGCTGCCATCATGAGATGGTTTCTTGACGAATTCGCTTCCGGGACGGGTCGTCAATCCGTCGCCGGAGAGGGGGATGGCGGTTCCTTTTTACCGGACGCTTGTTCGCCCAGCAAACGGAGCGCCTGTGACCGAGTGTCGAACCGGCGACAGTGAGCGCTAACACACTGCCGCCTTACCCACCGGCGCCGGCCACTCCTCCTCCTCCGAATTATCCGAATTGATAGGGGTTATGATATTCGTTCTAATCTGTAGGTATAACCCGGAATACTAACATATATTTGTGTATCTACCTTTAATTGATTTTTATCTTTGTTAATAAACTTTGAATGCATTAATGTGTATTTTATAGCAGCTGCATGTCAATAAATAATGTAAATAGAACAAGAAGAAACCTTATCTAGCAAAATAATAGAAATCCGAGTACACTGGTTGAATCCAAAACACAATTGCCAATTGGATTATTTGGATAGGTCAAACGATTGATCCCTTCGAACATCGACCCTTATTAACTAATGCACTGAGGTTACTTCCTTAGCGGCCTATAAGTGCAATCAGACAATATCTTATGACATATAAAAGATATCGATTATCAAACGACGTTTTCAATCATTTATTTTATTATATTAACTAAATATGATGGTACGATGCATTTTTTAATTAATACATGAGTTAGGTCATATATTATTTAACATAATTAATTCTATTACGTTTATAAGATTTTGTCTGATTAAATATCTTGTCAAGCGCAGTTCATTCCTTAAGTCAACAGACTAACCGGTACTTGACGAGAATAGATACAGTCAGTTACTGGAAAACTTTAGATTATCAGTTTATTAGAAATTAAAAAAAGAGGCACGAAATATGGAAACGTGGGACCTATTTCAAGTCATTGATGGTTACTAAGAAGTTTAGACTTACAGGGCGATAGTATTCGTCGTGGGCACTAGAAACGTGGTGCTCCTGTTCTTTCCTATTGGACGGCTCCTGTTGGGAATACTGACGTCTAAGAATGCTATTCGACCTCTGCAAGAGGGGCACGTTTTCCTTTTCGATGGCACTATGTGCCCTCTCCAGCTTGGGTCGTTTATCCGACATCAAACAAGGGGATGATACGTCTGTTCGTCTGGACGGGTCACCGCTCGCAGTCATACCGTGATTAATCCATTCGCCAGACTTACTGAGAAGTTCTTGTTTTTTCCGGCATAATATGCAAACCCATATCACCTGCACAGAAAATAAAAAATAGTAAAATTTAATAAAATGTGTATAATATAGCAGTTTAGATTTAGAAAATGTATTATTTTTTTATTTGACAATGATAACAACGCAGTTGAAATGTATATAGAAAATAATTATCTTATCATATTATTGTCATTATTTTATAAGCTAAAACACAATATGTGTTAATAATAATAATAAGAGATAATAGTGTTAGGGTCTGTTAACTGAGTGAGTCATAAAATACTTAATTAAGTTGACTTTTGATCGGCTGATGTTTGTTTAAAATAATAAAAACATAGTATGCTCTGACCTTTGGCGATCCTTAAAATAGGCAGCTTTTAATTTAATTAGGATAAATAATAATATAAATGTAAATTCAATGAGTTATCTCTGCCACTAATCGCATTTAACAAAACCTTAAAAACGTTTAAATGGCACGATAATACAATATGCAATTTAAAAAAAAACTTTAATTGTTATAGAATTTAGAACAAAAATAAAATGAGTACTAACTGATTACCATCAGATGTCATAAACGTCATAAATAACTTAACCCGGATTTACGTTCATTTCGAATGTACTATTTTAAAATAGGTAATGCAATTTACATTTACTTTGGTTTTCTTTTGTAATTGGCCACTATAAACATTGTAAACAAACCTAACGCCTAACGATAACTGTTCGAAACAACATCGTTAGTATTCGTATAACGTTCAAGTTATTTATTCTTTCACGAAGTACAAAAAGTCGGAACGGTTTTATTTGCAACCACCTTATCAGTTGTCACTTATATAGGTAAGTTCTAATATCGTTAAACATGTTTGTCAATTTTACTCGAGTAAATGTGATTCTAATAGTGTTTGAGCACACAACACCCCATAAAATACATACGGAGGAATTAACGACGGAAAATACTCAATAAAACCGTCAGTAGGTATATGTATGTAATATATTTTCTTAGTCGGTGCTTCCAATCAGTATATAGAAATATATTTCCGTAAGTCGCAAACAAAAATGCAGCAGGCTTTTCACGCAGCTCGTAATTCTGAGCAATCGACATAAAAAGCGTCGCCGTTAAGCAAAGCTTATCAGCAAACGTTTGGTGTGTGTTGTCTGTCCCACAACTCCAATTGCGCATACATCGCGTTAACGTTTTGCAAATATAAACTTACAACATATCTACACAATAGCAAAACGACACGATTCACTCCTGGTGGTTTCCATTTGGCCCTTACTGAACGAGGTCACCCTCTTCTCCCTAACCTAAACTCGTGTCGTTCAGTTTGTCCTGGCGTGTTTGTTATTTGTAAATATTATATGAATGCGTTCATGCTTAAATGTATACATGTAAAGTGTGCAGGCTATAATGTTTATCCAACACATTTGTCGCATCCACTCGGTGGAATTGAACGAATTGCATGACAAAATTATTTTATAATGCATTTGTATTATAGAATATAAAAAAAGTGATTTTATTTATAAAAATAATAATTAGTTATTAGGTTTAACATGTTCTTGATAAAACATGTTCTTTATGAGATGAAGATGTCTGGATACAACTATTAGTCGTAAAATTTTAGGTTAATTTTTAAGTTTGATTATCTAAATACGAATAAATTACCATACCTTATATTACATTTTCAAATGGTTCGTGGTTGTTAATTCGTTTTGAAATAAATTTGGAAAATACGCTTTTTTTAGACTTTATTATAAGTGTTAAACCATTCTGTCAATGAAAACATATCAGTGCGAATACGTTTTTTTTTAAAATAAAAACATGTAGGTAAATCTCGCATGGAAGGAGCCTAACCTAGCCTAACCGCTATGAAACTGATGTATACCATTCTCAGAAGGTTAGGTTGGTTAGGTTAGGTTTTACCGAATGGTGCCTTGACTCAGTCGATAGGACGTACATAATAAAGCATTGGTAATATTGCATATTAAAATTATTATGCAGTCTAAAATACACACATAATATATTTTGTAAATGTCAGGAACGTCGGTGAAACGCGTGGCCCGGTCTAAGGCGTTGTTTGTAGGGCAGTGTAAGACAGTTGAACCGTTAAAAACGTTGTCTGGGAAATTGAAAAATTAAATAACGCCGCTGTAAAAGTTGGTAAACTACCGGCGCGGCGGCGGGGCCAGTTTCTGTGCTCTCGGTCTGCATAAAAGCCACACAGCTCTCTCGCGATCAATATAACATACGTCATGTCCCAGTATCCATGACGTCATTACTCCCACCCAAAAAGGGGCGTATGATTTTGAGTTGAATGTACCCTGTAAACCTTAGTCGTACGTATACGTGTGCGACACGCCGTGGCTACCGGCACTTTAGTATTATACAAAACCGATTCGTATATCTGAGAGAGAGAGAGAGAGAGAGAGAGGAGCAGACAGAATAAACTTAACGTTATTACGTCAATGGAAAACGCGTTGTAAAAAATAAGTTCATAAAAAAAAAACACCCTGCTTTTGTGTTCAAACAACCAGCGGAACTTTTACCCGTTGTGCAAATATTATTAGTGCCTTCAGTTTGATCACGAAAACAGTCTACATCTTAGTTGACAATAACAAATCTCGTTGTCTCTTCGATAAAATACAAAATCGTTTTGCCATCGCGAATAGTATTGGAACATATTTGTGCTGTGAAATGACAATTCTATTAAACGATAATCGTTTACTGGCGTTGAAATGGTGTGTTGTCTTGTAATAGACGTGCAACGTCAAGAGAATCGAGGAAACACCCAAGAGGAAGGAAACCAGAATCCGCTAAAGGAGCTTATCTCCGACACACATTTCCATCATGCCGTTTAGAACGGTATAAGAACATGGCGTGTAACGTGAAACGATCACACGGTAACGTCGTATTGGCTGCGTGTCGCGAGCATGCCAATAACTAGGTCAAAGGGTAACTGATCCGTACACTCTCGCATAAGCCTCGTTTTGTGGACATTTATCACCGCAGACAAAAACACGATATGTATTTTAACGTCTCGCCCGTCAGACAAGTGACAGTTTTCAAAACGAAACCAACAGAATTCATAATTACAGCCGAAACGCCCTAGACCGACCCACACACTTAACTATGATAATTAGATACTGGTACAACGTTCAAACAATGTCTTCCAGGAATATCAATTCATTATTATTTTTAAATTGCTTTGTGGAGCGTGGGTCTAGCCAATATTTACAGATGCACTCTAACGATCATTAACATAGTCAAGTACAAAGGATTTCATACATTTAAAACCTTCACAGGCGTGCAAAGAGAACGATAAAACCGTACGGCAAACTAAAGGGTTACCCGAGATTCCCGAAAAAAAATGTGAACCACTTTGTATTTAGTAATTAATGGTTAACAATTACACCTGTAATATACGTTGATGACAATCAGAGGTTCAAAATCATAGCATACTCGTGTTGTAAAAATTAATTATAGTATGAATTAAAAAAATCAAACAAATGTTTATAGTTGTGTTTTAAGTATTGAAAGGTAATTTATATGGTGGTTAATAAATAACACGATAATGCTAATACAAACATTACCCTGAAAGAAAATTCGTTAATAACACATTATTTGCAATTCTATCTAACTGATCCCTAATCTTAGAAATTTAAATACGAGACTGGTTTTTATAGCTTTACAACAAAATTATTAAAGATTTGTTACTATAATAATGGCATTAAATGGAACGGAGACGGGAGAGTGCTAATTTTTTTGCAAATATAGACTAAAACGAGATGTCACTTTCTGAGTGTTTACTGAATCAATTTTAAAAATGTTTTTTTCTTTTAAAGATTAACATCTTCTCTATAGGGGATAAATAAGATTTTTTATTTTTGTTTTCAAAATGTAATTATAAGTTTTTATATTTTTACTTTTTATATATTTTTTAATAAATCAAACTAATTTTTCATGATAGCCAAATAAAAAATTGGCCTTTAGTCCCCTAGAGAAAATAGTAAGCTTCACATAAAAACAAAAATTGAAATGCATCCAACAGACACTAGAAATTTATTTATAAAACTCGGGAAAAAACAACATTAAAAGTTTTATTACTAAAAAATATCAATATTTTTTTCCATAAAATTAGACGGCATATTTCAAATGGCTACTAGATCAATTTTTTTCAAAAAATGCCTATCCTTGCCCCTTAATAAGTAATCCTTTCGGTTCTCGTTCATTAATTATTATAATTTAACAATTTTATTTTATCATTTTGGTAATTGGTCATGAATAGTAGACGGTATACTAATTTGACAATATAAATTCCCCATTTTTGAACACAGTTTTTTTTTACAAGACCTTTCAGACAAAAAACGTTCTTAATCAGTATTTTTTTATAGCCAAAACGCACGATACGAAATCGATTGCTTAGCATATTTTATTTATGAGAAAACACTGTACAGCGTCCCCCCTCGTGTACCCCATCAGTGTTCGCCTAAAACTATATATTATTTAACCTTCGGCGTATAAAAAATGAACTAAGTAAACACGCGCGTTTTCTCTGTATTTGTTGGTATATTATATTCTAGAAAAAAATATGTACTAGCGTTGTATAAAACGTTCAATACATTTATCATTTCAGTTCTCACGGTTTAAAATTACAAGTATATACAGCAAGCAGGCAATGTACTTACACACTACCGACAGTTAAGATGGGACATTGCATTGTATAGACATTTTTTTAAAAAAATGTACTATATTATTTTATTTATCAACTTTAAAAGTCTGTAGATGCCTCTTGGTTTTTTTAACTAAATGGATTTACAGTTCAAGTGTGGTTTATCTATACAAGTATAGAGATATTTCTATTTAATTATGGATTTTAAATATTTTATTCATGTCAATTGAAGAAGAAAATGATAGAAGGATAGAACTAGAGAAATTTATGAGCTAGAGATTATTAAATTATTGAAAGGTAAAAAATAGAAAAAGTGATATGCTTGTAGAAGAATTTCTAGTATTTTTGAGCCATTTATGACCGCCTTCACCAGATTGGTTTAAACATGAATAATACTTTAAGAATACTAAAATTTGGGTGAAACTATACTTAAAATTTAGATGTTAAGCCGAACTAGTGAAAGCGTACAATAATTGTTGCTTTTTTATAAGGACTTGAATCAAGGTCATGTTCCAAAATTGGTTTCTTTAAATTAAATAATTGAATATTAAGTACATCATGTTTACCAATACTTAGTTTAATACTAATATTAATATAAATATTTATACTTCAATAATGTTAGATTTATATCAATTACATAGCACGAAAAGGTTGTTTAAAAACAAAGTACGCTTTTTATTAGCTGTACAAAATTGATATTCGGACGACACAAATTTAACCCATAATTAGTTTTTTGTTTTTTTGCGAACCAAGTTTAGTGTAAAACAGACAACGTAACGGCACAAAACCGACGTGTAAGCGTCATCCTTAATATTTGCACCGCCTCTTTTGTATAAATTAAATTAAATTTAGCTTCTTTTTCGTTTAGTTCATAAATGGTTTTGCGTTGTTAAACGTAAAGCAAATAAACAAAAACAAAAGAAGCGTTATTGTTAGTCTAACAATAATGGTATTTTTACATTTACTTTTGTTTTAATTATTTTACAGGAAAGTGTAATAATTTTTATAAAACTAAGGCGTTTAAGAAATTGTGTATTTTTGTTTTTAATTTTATGTAAGCTCGGTCTATAGTATTGGTATTCATCAAAAAAATATATTTCAAACTGATCTCTACCGTACTTATCCACACCCCGAATTCGCCTTATTTCAGAATATTTAAACAATAAAAAAATCATTACTTGGCGTAAATACTAAATCTTTCTAACTATTTTCAATCTATTTGTCTTGAAATACACATAATGTTGAATTTATTGTTAAATATAAAGAATCGGTCTGGTTCTGGCTTACTATTATATTTTTCAACTAATTTAAAACAACTTAATACATACAAATACCAGTCTAGACTGACAGGCTACTCAAATGGTAGGCAACTGACCAATTGGCAATCTACAACTGAGTACCCCTTAAATCAGTCCGACAATGGCATTACTAGTCTATGAAAAAATGTCACTGTAACATATAAATATATATTATAGTGAATAGAACATTACGCCAGTACTGTAATAATAAATATATATACTTTTTAATCTAGTAAAAAACAATCCATATATAATCCGTAACAATAGGCATTTCAAAGTTGTTGTGGTTGATTGGAAAAAGCAAAACAGTAATAGTTTTGTATTGTACTTTTTTTCGATGTATAAAAAATGATGACCAAAAATTTTAAAAAATCTTAATATTTTTCTATTGCTTGATACAACACAATGTGTTTGTGTGTCTGTGCACAAATTGTAAAAAATATGTTTTTAAGAAAATTTCTATGACAAAGAACCAAAGTGCAAAAACGTATACGTACAGTTTTCCCAGCACCACAACGTGCAAGATAATGTGTTTTTGGTTACACAATTAGTCATGTGTTTGTACAACGTGCAAACAAATTTTGTTAAACGAATTGCGGTGTCGGTCGCTGTTTTTATTACTGCTCTGTTTATGCATGTGACTTTTCCATACAACATTGAAAATAGAGGGGGCACATGATTTAAGACACTCATTTACTAGGATAATATGAATTTTTTGAAAATGATTTTTTCCCTGTACTTGTAAGTACATATATTTTTCAATATTTTGAACATTTGTTCCCTTATACGTAAAACAAGTATGGACTTCGTTTTTTTTCTAATTGGAACCAATGTTTTTAATTCCGTAAATATGTAGAAAACAATTTTTTTTTTAAACGTTAGCATTTTAATTTTTAATTTTCATCAATCTGTTCGTTGGTTATGACCTTGCAAAGATATTATTTTTCCCCATAGAATTGTTATATTTTGTCTTCTGTTTTCCAAAATCTAGTAGCCCAAAAAGTTCACATTTATGTTCGCATTGTCCGATGGATCATAGCACTGATAACCAGATACAATGATATGTTTTGAGATAATCATGATAGACATTACGGTTCTTATCAAACACAGTGGTGGTGGCAGTGTTATCGACGGGGGTCGATGTTCTTATTTAATGGGAAATTGTTGAGCTACTGTATTATAATATTTTCAAATTCATATCAAACGAACAGAATATTCAAATGTTTAGCGCTGAAATTTTCTAAAAGTTTTTATCTATTTATTTATGGAATTAAAAACATATGTCCCCAACATATTTGAAAAACGAAGTCAATAATTGTTTTACGTATAAGGGTAAAGGGATGAAGGTAAAAATGTTCAAAGTGTCGTAAAATATAATAAAAAATTTACCTACAAGTTAAAAAAAAAATAATTTTGAAATATTCTTACTTTCCGAAAAAATTAATGTCTTACATCAGATGGACCATCTTGTATAGTAGTTCCTTGTTATTTATATATTTAAAATAATCTAGAACTAATAAAATTATCTATATTATGTTCGACATGGTCGATTGAACATATTTCAAACATTAAAACAGTTTTACATGTTGATTTTTTATCCTCTCATTCTATAACGTATTACCTGGCTGGCTAGCTAGTAGCTACGCGTTAGGGGAAACGATTTTGGGACAGCTTAGACATGTTTAATTAACCTAATGATGAAAGAGTCAGGTGTAATTACAGTTGGCTCGCTCCAGATTATATTAAATTAAAAACAACAAAAGTGGGAGAAAACGCCACTCAGGTTTAGTCAAATGGGCCTAACCGGTACCCGGGATTAGGTAATGTTTAAAATACATGTCTGAAGTAGCAATTAGAAGTTAGTATTTTGCTTATTGATATCACGTATTTAGTATTTAGTTTTTTTTTTAATTTTTGGATACAAAATATTAAATAAAATTTCCAAGTTGAATAAATTGATTTACTAAAATTACTAAATCATTAGACGTCTAATATGGTAATCCACATAATAATATTTACTAAAATATTTTAATATAGTATTAGTGCATTTGCTTAACATGCGTATACATGATGTATGGTAGGAATTTTGCTGTAACAAAGTTTCAATATCATACATATTTTGTTCTCTATAATACCTAAGACAGTGGTCCCCAAACTGTTTAATCCAGGGACACTGCGCTCCACACGAAAATATAAAAAATAATACAATTTATAATAATAATATTTCTGATGGCATTCATGTAGACCAGTATATACAACTAATATGTTTTTGATTAATTAGTATCAGCCAACAGAGAGCAGAGGCCTAGCAACTGAATTTTGCCTAAAAAAGGCCACCGCCGATTATAATGTTTAAGAGCCCCTGACCTAAGGGTACCATTAGCTGGTATCCCCTTTAAAATGTAATGTTTCCTCTGATTCAATCTTAAGTTTTCTACACGTATTGTAATTTTTAGATTTGTATTATGTTACTATTGTATGAAACCAGTGGTGTACTAACTTTGCTCGAACGCAGGGTAACCTTGCCACCGCACCTGGCACAACATCTGATACCACAATAGTTGCACAGGTGTCCGACGCCGTCGGCAAACTTAGTCTTTAGGCATATGTGACAAGTTGCGTCCAACTCGACCCCAGCTTTTTTCTGTTGTTCGCTGCGTTGCCGAATTTTCTCTTCCAACAAGATTACCTCCTCCTGTTTTCGTCTGAAAGCAAAAAAAAAAAATAATCAAATCATGTTATCGCCCAACATCAATAAACATAATATATTATATGAATTATGTTTGTTCGCAGTTTTCGTTGGCGACTATCTAAGACAGAACGAACCGACTCGATTGGAACCAATTCACGTTCCTATCTTTTGTTGCTATATTTTCTCCTTAAGTGACTGACACGACACAACGTCAGATTATGTCGTCGTCACGCGTGGCAGTAGTCAAACAAACCAACATGCCGGAAGACATGGTCGATTTTGCCGTGCAAACTGGACAAAAAGCCATAGACCAGTTTTACACGGAAAATCACATGGCCAAATACATCAGGAGCGAATTCGAGAAGAAGTACTTGCCCATATGGAATTGCGTGGTAGGGAGAAAGTTCGCTGGTTACATAAACCACGAGGCAAGCACTTTTATCTACTTCTACGTTGGTCAAATGGGAGTCATGATTTTCAAATCCTAACGATTTTTTGAATGCTAAAAATAGTTAAAATACATTATACCTATTATTTCTCATTATGTGTGCACACTAGTGCCAGTATAATTATATTTGTATTTTAATCTAGACCTTATATTTTGAGGGTGTATATTTGAAGAGGACAGTAGCCCAATATCTGTTCATATTAATTATCAAAAAATATTTTCGCAAATGGTTTATGCATCTTTAAGCACCCTCAAAACCTATGGTGAATTTAAGCTTACGATACTTATGATTACTATGATTACTATATATACGTGTGTCAATATCGTCACCTAAGAACCGTTACAGCCAATCTCAGTTCTCCCAACTTTTCAAGACAAAAAACACATCACTGTCAAAAAACTATTTTAACATTGTAATTTTTTAAAGCGAAGTGGTCGGTCTAACTCGAAACGATCTCACCCATTTTGAAAACATAAATCCATAGATCTACTCTTTTATTCTAAGTTTACTAATATTGCACAACTTTCTATAATTAAATAACGTTTTTATGACAGATGAGTGGTAGTAAAGAACTGTAATCATTGGTTACAGTTAACAAAATTTTAAATAAAGAGTATAGGGAGCAAAACAGAATGGCAAACATTACAAATTTCAATTTTTATTATTCTTTTCCAAACACTTTACGCGTAACAAAAGTATCAAAATGGGTTAACAAAATCTAATCATATAGACCAAAAAAATAAATTAAATTGCTTTTCGCAAAACTTAGCGCTATTAGGGTAAACTTAGGGAAGATGTATACTAAAATCGTTAATACTTGAAATTCTTAATTAACCTAATAACACTAGTTTGAACTGACAGTGGGTTTTGTATGCATAGCCCCCCCCCTAATTGACACCAATTGTCCAAGGGAATCGTGGAGAATTCCCTGCGAAAGCGAGTCGCCTTGTTGTCGTCGTTGAGTTTAAAAAAAAAGAAACACCACGAAATCTTATCCGCCCGATAATATTCATAAATCATAACAATAATTATTATTGTTTGTCGAAAGCGGTGGATTATCGGGTGACGACAACAACAACGGCGGCCGTAAAGTTCAAAAGTTCAACCCACCTCCGCCGCCACCGCCAAGGAACGACGGCAGCGACGGCGGTGGTGGCATCATCATCATCATCAACAACGTCGTGGCACTGCACCGCCACCATGGCCAACAGCGGCGGTGGTGCACGTCAGTTGTACCAACCTCATGATTTCCTGTTCTTTCTGTTCTTCTTGTTTCTGCCTATGCACCACCGACTCGATGATCTCCCGTTCTTCGGGCGTCAGATGTGACAGATCCGGCATGTCGGACGCCATTCTCTGAAGTACCCAACACCAGCACACGGCACTAAGCGCCAACACCCGGCACAACGACGGTGCTATCTGCGTCCCGTGCGCCGGCACGGTGGTCATCGTCAGCCCATGGACGCGTCGCGCTTGGCCATGATACTGTCATGCGGCCGTCGTGCCGCAGATCGCATAGCGATAGTTGTCCGTAATCGCGTCGGTGGCTGCACTTCGCAGCGAGGAACAGCGCACCTTCGACGTGATGACGTCACCTTATTCAATTATTATTTGTCGTCTTTAAAAGGCTTGGGGGAAAGTCACACCGAACTGTTTCTCAAACCATTACCAATGCCTCGCACCGACGACCGTCCGCCGACGACATGTCTTTACCGGCAGAACTTTAAACGGCACTCACTACACTCGCGAGCACTACGACGGTTATAGCGACGAATAATTTTCTTTTTCGTTTCTGATACGTTTTCCCTGTCATTCACACACATACACGTACCCACACACCCACGACGACCGTGTTGCTCACTTACGTCATAAGGCCCCCAAGTATCGATCGATGCCGGCAACGGTGGCCGCTCTCTCTCTCAATGGACACAGACACGGCGGCGCAAGCGTACGCACGGCCTAGAGGATGCGGCGGGGGAGGGGCGGGTGAAACACTTTGTGCGGCAGATGGTACGCGACGACAAACACAGTGACGGCGGCGGCGAATTTATCGTCAACTGGCGTGCTAGCGGATCGACCAACACCGACGCACTGACGCCCCAAAGCTCTACACTATATTGTTATCATGTATACTGCATATACCTGATACGAGTCCGCCTAGCGGGAAACGTCGAAAAATCCAAAACCAGCTGCGTTTTCGTCGCCGGTTTCAAGCCTTGTTCTCATAATTCGAAATTAATATCTCGGTGTCATTTTGTCCCACCGTTGCCATCCCCCTTTCTTTCGACACCTTGTCGGCTGTCGCAATACATTTATTATGATTATTATTTTTATTATTATTATTATTATTATTAAATTAGGACGGTGAATATAATATTGAACTCAAAACTTAAACCATACTTTTATGCGCTTAACCTTAAATATAATCATATCGTACAAAAGTAAATAAACCATTAAATATTTAAATTAAATTTAGACATTATATTATTTGTCTATTTAAATATATATTAATAAATGTATAAAACCTTGCTTATTTATTATCGTTTTACGATCATTAATGATTTAAATACTATAAGTTGAATGAAATACTTTTTATTTAAGTCACAAGTACAGTTTAATTCAATATTCAATTGGCAGAATTAAGGTTACGTGTTAATGATATTAATATTAACTTGTAGTCCTACCTCAACTTTTTTTTAACAAATTTATTTATTTATTCGTATGGCTTAACAAATCAACATTACAGCAAATCTAAGTATTTATAATGAAAAAAAAGTTAAATAAAATTAATCGAAAAGGTTATAAGGATGTATAAATATATAAATATAATATAATTTAATGTAGCGTGAATAGTTTACAGGCACGTCCAGTTCCCTTATCCACTTTACTGCTACCGGTGTTATTGCGCGGATTCCTTCGATATCCTGGTTGAATTTCCTTAATTGACATTCCGTTAGAATGTGATTTACGGTTTGTCTGTCGTTGCCGCAGTCGCATGCTGGGCTGACTCGGAGTCGCCATTTAAGCATCATATCAACGCAACGGCCATGGCCTGTTCGTAGGCGATTTAGTACAGACCACTCATGTCTAGGCAGTTCCATACCCATAACTCCTTGATTGGGATCAGGCACCAAGTTTTTGTTTCTGATTGGTATAGTAGAATTAGTCCATTAATCGCGCCAGCACTTTTTAGTTTCAAATCCTGATCTTATTAGGTCTTTGGCTGTCTTCCAAGGCGGCTTCCTTGATTTTAGTCTGAGTGTTGGTACATCTTCTAATCTTTCGGCTAGCAGTTAATTCCTCCTATCCTCGGCTTTCTTGATAGTATTAATAAGTTTCTGCTTTCTTCATAGGTCTGATGGAACTATATTGGTTAATACTTGTAGCTACTGTAACTGAGTGGACTTCACCGTGCCGCTAATCACTCTCATCTCACTATGCAATTGTGTATTGACTTTCTTTACATGTGCACTATTGCACCACACTTGGGCACCGTATTCGGCTGCGCTATATGTTAACGCCAGTGCTGCTGTCCGTAGTATTTTAGCGTCAGCGCCCCATCCTATATCGGCGAGTTTTTGGAATAGATTGACTCGAGATCGTACTTTCTTACCGGTTTTGTCAAGATGTTCTTTAAATGTGAGCGTACGGGCCAACGTTATTTCCAGGTATTTCGGCGTGAAGTTGTGCTTTATTTGTACTCCTTGGAATGTCACTTTCAGCTCTTCTCTAGCCTTTTTATTGTTTAGATGAAAAGCACACACTTCAGTCTTGACAGGATTTGGTTTTAAACGCCATTTGGAGAAGTATTTGTTCATAGTATTAAAGTTTTTCGGTAAGTACTTTTCCACCCTCCTCTAAATCAATGCTTTGATAAGCAATTGCAATATCGTCCGCGTATTGGAACTTAAGGCCTTACGTATCGGGTAGATCATGTATATATAAGTTAAATAGAGTCGGGTAAGTACCGATCCCTGGGGAAGACCATTAAGTACTGTACGCCAATTGCTTTCTTTATTACCCAGAAATACTTGGGAGCGGCGGTTCATGAGCATCCTATCTAGGAGTATAAATAATTTCCTGCATGGGATGACCTTAGCGAACTTATTCAAAAGACCGTCTCTACATACTATGTCGTACGCCGCTGATAAATCGATGAAAGCTACACTAGTTTTAAATTTCCTTTGGAATCCAGATTCTATTAGGGTTGTGAGTTATTAGCACTTGTTCCTCACATCCTCGGTATTCCCTAAATCCAGCCTGCTCTACTGGGATCACATCTTCGATATATGGTTGTATACGTTCTAATATCATTCTTTCTAGGATCTTATACGTAACGCTCACTAATGATATAGGACAATAATCTGCGACTTCGTACCCGTCCTTCCCGGGTTTTAATAACGCAATCACTTTCGCTCTTTTAAATTTCTTTGGTAGTTTTGTAGTATCTATATTACTATCATTATAAAACATAGTTAACCAGGTATGAGTTCTCGGACCTGCGAATTAAAAAAACTCAGAATATATCCCATCGAAGTCAGCAGCTTTGTTTAATTTGGTTTTCTTTATTGCGTTGCATACATTATTTTGTGCGAAAGCAGCGTCTAATGTTGGGTGCGGCGTTAGCATTTTCCTGTGGTTTCTTAATTCTGTTCTTATTATTCGTTTATGCTCTTTGTCTACTGAAAGTTTTCCCACGCTTTTTAATCTAGCTGCTACACTATTTGGTCTTAAGGTATGCTGACCTTTCGTGGCATTATTTGAGGCGCCTAATTTTTTCATAAGGCTCCGAGCTTTATGGCTGAGTGGGTAAATTCTAGATTTTCTGTCTTTTCACGCCATCTTTTTCTTTTTGAATTTAAGTTGTTAATTAACTCATCCGCTACGTTATTATCTTTTGTTCTTTGAAACTCCGCGAACAGCTCGTTACACATTTCGTCCCAGCCTGGGATGAACTACTTCCTGAAACCCTAGGTATGTGTTTTTTTCGCTATTAGTTTTATCGCTCCCACGAATCGTTCATAGCACTCTGCCTTCGCTGGGACCATTGTACTAAATTATCTAATTCCTTGGCGAATTCAGTCCAGTTAGCTTTCCTGAAATTCCATCTTGTTTTTGGAATTGATCTAATTATTGGTATTTTTAGGCCGTACTCTAAGACCACCGGTTGATGCTGGCTGTGAGGAAAGTCGTCGAGAATGCGGCGCGATGCCATCTGTCTACTATCATTTGAAGATTTCGATATTATGCTCAGATCAGGCGTGTACTCCTTTAGCCACCTTTGTGATCGAAAAGTTCCCTTGTCGTTTATACTGAAGACAAGTTCCAGATTCATTTTAACTAGCCACTCATATAATATATCTCCGTTTTCATTATTTTCCTCATAGCCTCACGCCATGTTATGGCTGTTAAAGTCACCTATATAAATGGCTGGGTGTTCAAAGGTTTTTATTGGATTACTTTCCCATTTATTGTTTGGAGGTTTATACACGTTCGTTACTGTAATACTACCTATTGTCGTGGTTAGTACTTGTATGTTTCCTGAGTTGTCTTTTTGAACCACCCTTATATCATCGATGTTTTCTTTAACATACGTAGCTATGCCATACTGTTTGTGATGTATCGCTCTAATTAGTATATATCCTGCGATGTAGCCTCTTTTTTGAAGGTCATTGTCATCTTTTCGATGTGTATTTCTTGTAAGGCAATTACATCTATTCTTTCCTTGTTCATGATCTTGGTTAGAACTTCACACTTTGCTTTAGAAATTCCTTCAATGTTGAAATGACAGATCCTAAGATCTTCACCAACATTAAGCGTCAAGTGGTCCTTAAAAGGACCGTTTTGGGTTGGCATTACTGCCGTTTGCTGATGTTGATTTGAAATGCTGGGCATCAGCGCCGGGTGGTGGTATTGATACACTAATATTTGTTTAATATAACAAAGACTCGTGTATGCAAGGAAGGCTGCGAGCAAGCTACCACCGTCTTCCTCTTTTAACAAATTATCATAGTCCATACAGCAAAAAAAAAATATTTACATTTTTAAAAGGTTTTGGTCAAAACATTTGTTTTCTTGTATGAAAGTATTTATTTATTGATGACACCACTATACATTTTAAGGCGTAAGGTATGGGCAATTTTTTGCAAAAACTTATTTTAAAACTAATTATGTTTTGTATATTTAATATAAGATAGTATAGAGATAATATTATTAGTAGTTGATTTTTTTTGTCAGGCTTTATAATAATGATTTTCTAAAAAAATTAGAGCATTCAGCTTTCACAGTACAAAAATCAGATAAAAAATATTTTCATAGCCTTTCAAAATACAGAAATTCAAACTTTGCCTTCTCAAAGAATTTTTTCTTAATTTTAAAATAATAAGTTCATTATGTTTTAAAAACTTGTTTGGTGTTATATTGAAAATTAATTTTATAATTTGAAATTCTAAGCCAACATTCATGTTGAGAGTATTCAATAAAATTTAAACTATCTATATTTACAAAAATAACGTACTTCAACTTTACTGGGTGATTCTTTTAAGAGGACATCACACACCCGTTATATTCTTCAAAAAACCCGCCTTGCGCCGATTAATTTTACAAAGGCTGTAATCAAAACTAAGAAACTAAATTTTCACACAATATAGATAACAACATTGTCTGTGCTATACCATGGCCTTTTTTTAATATTTAATGAATAATTAATTAATTAAGAAAGGACATTTTTTGACTTTTTTAAAAATGATAATATAGTGTCGGTAGTATTAGGAATATCGATAAAAATACGGATGCTGGAGCACAGATAGTATTGTCACATATAATATGTATGAATTTCTTTCTTTAACTATATATGAAGCCTAAAAAAAAAAAATCCGCGTAAAACTAACTCAACAGAATTTTTTTTTTAAATCGTTGTCAAGGATGCTGTGATAGTGTGAAAAATAATTTAACTACCAAAAAAGAGTCCTAACTACTGAACTAATAATTACACATAACACATCACAGTTTAACCTTTGAGTTAAGATTTTGCAAAAATTTTGCCTATACTTTACTCCGTAAAAATGGGCGGTGAGG